TGAGTCGCCGGCGACGGCGTAGGCTGCAGCCCCTGTGGCAGTGGGTTGCCATGGGCTATCGTATGTAGCCAGCAGCCAGCTGTTCCCCAGTGCTGTTCCTATCCCCCCAATTCCCCAATAAAAATCTTTAAAAAAAAAAAAAAGGATCTTTGAAGGTCAGTTGAGAGTCCATAAAGACAAGGCTATCGTGGAGGAGTAGAAATCAGTACTTACTAACTGGACAATGAGGCTGGATGCTTCCATATGGCTGGCCACTGGAAGCAACACCATCCCAAGGTTCAGCACAGTAAACTTCTGCATGGCTGGAAAGTACTGTTCACTCATCTGCGTTTTTTCAACGACTACAATTCCTTTAAGATTACCGGACTTCAAAGAACAAAACAAAACAAAAAAACAACAGTAAACCATTTTGTAACAAAATTCCTTTCAATGTCCCTCACTATCACTCCAAGGGTGCTTGGAATGCGCAAAGGCTTTCTATAAATTATTGCAAACCTAGGAGGGAGGGGGAATAAAAGTCAGTTTTCAATATCAGTTTCTTCAATTCAGTACTTACATTTCTAACGACGACAAGCCTCTTTCGGTAGCTATTCCCTGCCACCAAATCAGCTTCGGTGATATAAAGAATGCAGGATCTGCTAGACAAGTAAAAATCTACCGGGGTCAGGCCAGCCTCAAAAATGACTTTGATTTTCCCTTAAAATGCAGACAAGAAAATAAGTTCTGTGAGCTTTGGAAGACAAGGCGGCAACTGGTAAAACATTTTACTAAACGTGGGGTGAGGAGAAAGAGGGTTTATGCAGAGTGCTGCCCACCGACCTTGCATCCCTTGTGTTAGCGGCGACCCACGCCATTTCTCATTGGCCACAATGTGCCCAAAAGGCACGTGCACGGGGCCTGTGCGATCAGGGGGGTTCTTTTCCATCGGCGGCCTGGATCTAAAGTGAGAAATGCAAGACGGCACTTGAGCAGGCTCTCCTGACACGGCCCCACATTCCACTCGAAGCTGGGGCCTCTTTGGCAGGAGCCGGTCTGCAGTGTTCTCTAAAAGACTGAATTATTTGCAAAATCTAAGGACCAAGAAGGTCCTTAGGACGCTAAGAACGCTTAGGATCTAAGGACGCTAGTCGCGTCCCTCATTTTCACCACCTGCCTGGCCCCTGATACCTCTGCTCGGTCAGCGCTTTGGCTCCTCGGTCCAGTCCAGGGCGGGACCCGAGCTGGCCGGGATCCCACCTCGGTCCCACTAGAAGGGCTCCGGTGACTTTACCTACCGCGCACCACTTGGCGTTCCCGCCAACGCGCAACAGGAGTCCTTGGTCGTGCCAGCCCGCTTCCTCTTCACGGCGTTGGATAGGCTATGGCGTCGGGGATCGACATCTAATCTGGCCACTAAGAGAACGTACAGTGCGCACAGTTTCCGCCCCAGAGAGGATTTGAATGCGCCCGCTGGTTGCCAAGAGCGACGGGTCTGAAGTATCCTTGTCTCTAATTGGCGGGCGAGAAAACAGAGCCAGTGGCAGACGTGGGTGTTGCGAAGTCCTTGGCTTTGAAATTGCGTCTGGGCCAGGTCAGCGGGCGTGGCCAGGGTTTAGGGAACGGTCCCGGGCTCTTAGGTGGCCTGCGCTTGGATCCATCCCGGGTGTGACCGCCCCCCGCCAGCAGCAAGGATGCTCCTGGGGTTCCGGAGAGGCCGCAAGGGCCAGTTTGTAAGTAGACCCTCGCCGGGCCTGCGCTCTGGCCTGGAGGCCAGGGGTGAAGGGAGGAGGATTTGGGATTTGGCCTGAGATTGAGGCAAGGTAGCGGCGCAAGAAGAAATGGCTTTTCGTTCGAAACGCCTGGATTTTTCCGTGTTCTAAAGAATCCTTTATCCCAGGATCCGGCCTCAGTCAGACAGGAGTCTCCTTGTCTCCCCCGCAGCGTTCGCTCCGCGGTCGGGGAGTTCACTCCGGCGCACGGCACAAACCTCCACTGCTGGATGTCCCCGATGGGGAGTCTTTCTCGATTCCTCCCTCAGCCACCCACCACGGTCACCCCGTCAGCAAGTTCCATAGATTCTACCCACCAAATACATCGGGCAGCTGTCCCCGCCCCCGTCGCGTCTACCTGCATGTACCTGGACGGCTGCAGCGGCCCCTCACTGCTTCTCAGCTTCCGCCCTTGCCCTTTCCCCAGTCCGTTCTCCACGGAGCAAACGAAAACGCAAATCTGATCGTGCCACTTCCTTCATTAGAACCCAGTGCCCCTAACTCACTGTCGCCCCCTCTCCTCCCCTCCCCCGTCCTCTTCTCCCCGCCATACCAACTTTGTTCTGTTCCTTTCGGCCTTTGCTGTGCTCTCCCGTCTGCCAGGAATGCTTCCCTCCAGACCTTCCCGTGGCCGCTCTGTCACTGTGGCCGCATACTCCCAGCCTCATTCTCTGATCTCCTGTCTTTGCTACTCACTTCCTGTAGTATTCGGCCTCCAATAACCCGTTAACACATACCCACCCCACAATCACTGTATTGATCTTATCAGTGTTCTTACTGCCTTCATTTCCAGCCCTAATGTCAAATCCCACAGCCCATCATTATAATCACTCCCCTTATACACCCTCCACTCCCTTCCTCCTGTCTCCCTTTTCCATACTTGCCTTGCGAAACTCCAAACCTACTTACACCCATTCTCCGTAAACGTAATGCTTTAGGTTCAGAGAAAGCGTTTTGATAAGGGCGCTCCTGAACTCTGTTTTTAGTGGGGGCTAGAAAGCGTGTCTGACTTGGCTTCCTGTCCTCAGCCCTTCCACCTGTGGCTGTCATTTTAGACACATGGTTGTTGAGAAGCAGTGAAGACATAGTTGAAGCTTTTTTTTTTTTTTTTTGCATTATAATTTTGCTAACTCCGCATGGCATTATTGAGTTCCTACTCTGTATCTGATTGACAGCCTATGGCGACACTGTCTAAAAGCTAGACAAATCCATAAGTAACTCAGCACAAAATGGTAAGGCCAAAACTACTGTACAAGTGTGTACCAGGAAAGGGGCAGCGAAGTAAGTCCAGAGTTGCCCTGGGCCTTGGTGGGGATAAGAAAAGAGAATTCCAGGGGGAGAAAACAGCATATACAAAGGCCTGGGGGAAAAAAAAAAAGAATGAATTATTTGCTGTGTGGGAAATGAAAGGCAATTCTGAATGCTAAAGCATAGAGAATATGTGTGGAGATGAGGAGGAGTAGCAAGAAAAGAACCTGGGTCCATTGGTAGGAACCAACGGATAGCGGCTTACCAGCCTCCTGTGCCTCACCAGACCATTTATCTGTCATCAAGAGTGTGGGGTTGCCCGTGAGGGTTTTCCTACTGGGTTCAGATGGGTTCATTCTGTTTTAGAGGCTGAGGCAGGAGAACCGCAGTTTAGGAAATGATTATAGTGGTAAATGTTCAGCATACTGTGGGAGAGTCACTCTATCCAAAAAATAAAACAAAGCAAAACTCATGAGGTCTTTTTGGAGAACCTACTGGATGACAGCCCCTGGGGACTCAAAGGTGAAGAAAACCCTTTTTTTCTTCTCCTTGGACATGTCCCAGGTTGGGGTAGGGAGTGGTTGGGGATGGGGGATGATGCAGACATGAAACTGTCAAATTGCTAGACAAATGCAGGATGGTGCGCTACACAGAGGGGTAAACGGATTAGACACTGCGCTGGAATGCCTGCTCTTCAGGTTGGCCATCCAAGTGTAACGGGGCGGGGGGGAGGGGGGCAGCGGGGGCTGCAGGAGACATTTGGAAGACCTGTCCATCTCTCGCTCCTGAGGGGTGCCCCAAACCCTGGCTCTTTCCCTTGGTTGCTCCTCCTTTCTGTCCCCTGTATCTTATGCCTACCACTGCCTGATTAGTCTTTCCAGGGGCCAGTTTCAGGGGGTGCTCCATAATAGGACACAGGATCTCTTTCGTCTGGTATCAAAACTCTTAAATGGAAACAATCTTCTCTGTTACCCCATCCCATTGTTCTAGCCTCTCCCTCCCAGGTGCCTCTGTGTTACAGCAAACTGGAGAGACTTGTTATTTCCAGAGCACTACCACTAGTGTCTTGGTTCATTCCTTTGTTCATGGTGTTCCCTCTTCCTACAATGCTTTTCCATCACATTTCCCAAACGTGAGAGCAGTAGCCATCTTTGAAGACCCCGTCTGAATGCCTCTGTGATTTTTCTCCAAGGAGACACTGGAGACACTAGACCTGAAAGACCCCGTTCTCTCCCTGGGCCACCTCAGCACTTTGTCTTTACCTCTTGCTTGGCACGTTCCGTAATTCTGTGCTCTAGAAGAAGTGGGTGTTTTTCCTCTGTACTTTCCCTCTTTGAGGATGAGGACGAGGTTTCTTCATTGCTGTCGTGGTGTTTGGCCTCTAGTACGTGTGAATGAATGGCTGGTGCACAGAAAATGATTGGGCTACACTCAGGAAACTTCCGAGAGGCTCCCAGGTGCCTAAAGCAGGATTCTGCGACTTTCACTGTGTCTAGGAAACTAGTGTTTGTTCTTCTGCATCATTGAAACTACTTAAAATCTTTATTAAGCCCCTACCAGGTGTTGGACAATGTGCTAAGTGCTAGAGTCCAGGGTAGATAAAGACGAGAAGGTAGCCTGCTCTCAGGAGGCTTCAATTCTGCAAGGAGGTGGCAAGTGAGTGAGTAGGGTCATGAGGGGCTGTGCTGTGAGATAAATGGAGGTTCTGGAGGGTGACTCTCGGGGTCAGAGAAGCGGCTCTGAGGAGGGAAGGATGTGGGTCCCACAATGGGCAGCTGTAACGGTGCTCCCTGGGTGGGCATGCTTGCCTGGCCAGATGGGGATTGCAGGTAGCAAGGGGTGGAGTGGGCCTCCTGGTGGGGCTAGATCCCTGGGTGGCCCGTGCAAGTGTCCCCTCGCAGGCCAGGGAAGGGTTGTGGCAGGACCCAGATATTCCTTACACTAATGACCTCTGCTTGGTTTTATCTGTGCAGAAACACATCATCCATGGCCTTCTCCCTGCAGCCAGCATCGCACCAAAGCCAGCTGTGCCCCGGACACCTCCTCCCCGCAGCCCTAACCCCTCTCCAGAGAGACCAAGGTGAGTCTCAGGTGAGCAGGCACTGAGGTCGCCCTTGTGCTCAGCCACCAAGTGGTGGGTCCTGGAACTGTTCAAATTGGCAAGAAAATTACAAGTTAGGTGATTAAAATCATGTACTTTGAGATATTTATCATAGTTTCATAATTTAATATGGTTTCTCTGTGGGATAATGGCCTGTCTCTTTCAGGTGCCTGGTGCTCTCACATTTCATAATTAAGTGCAATTCGTGTTTTTTAAAATACAAGGTATTAAAGCCCAAGTATTTCACTTGATAGTATGTTAAAAGGAATTTGAGTTGTGCGTGTAATTTTTTTTTTAAAGATTTTATTGGGAAATTGGGCGAGAGGAACAGCATTGGGGAATCAGGGAAGGGCAACAGACAAATTGCTGTCCTTTTGTTCTTTAGTCTAGTTGTGGAGGACGTTGCTTCACTGGCCCATGTTGGTATTATCATTGCATTCTTGGTGGGAGGGTGTGGGGGGAAGGCAGTCGCTTGCTGGCCATTGGACGGCTGCTCACGGCTGCTGACAGCAGCTCATGCTAGCTGACAGCTGCTCACGTTGGCTGACAGCCAGTCACTGTAGCTCATGGCAACCCACTGCAGTAGGGGCGGCAACCTACGCCGTCGCCCGCGACTCACAGTAGCCCAGCTCCGGATCGAGCTGTTGTTCACCATCTTAGCTGTAGAGGGCACAGCATCACTGGCCCTCATGTGGGATCTGAACAGGGGCCCTGCTGCTCAGAGCTGGCGTCCCAAGCTAACTCTTAACCAACGCACCACTCAGCTGGCCCCATAATTTTTTTTACACATAAATCTGACTTGAAGAACTGCTTTGTGGGAAGGAAGGAAAGGGGGTTCACTTCCCAGGGCCTAGGTTTCCTCCCATCCTCCAGTGCTCCTAACACCAGAGAGCTGACTTTGTTTTATACCTAAAACCCCTGCCTGTGCCCTCCAAGATTTTAGACACAGGAGAATTTTAGGCCATTGTTTATCCATAAGATACCCAGGTACATGACTTGACTATTAACAGTGAGAACACATTTTATTCAAGGATGGTACCTTCTCTTTGTTTTCTTTGACACTAGGATATTGTAAACCTCCTGATAAAAAACACTGAAATATTTTTAGTGTTTGTTTTTTCCTCAAGTACCATCTTGATAACAAGAATAGCCATTTATTAGTATTTACTCTGTGCCAAGGACTCAAATAAGTGCTCTAGAAGCATTATTTCATTTCATCCTCTCAGTGACTCTATGAGAGGGGTCCTGGTGGCATCCCTCTTTCGAGCTTGTGTTCGTCCTTTGCCCAAAGTCTCACAGCTGGCAAACGGTGGCATCGCTGTGATGCATATGAAGTCTGTCCAGCTCTTGAGTGTTTGTGTGAACAACCCTTAAGTTGTGTCATTAGGACATAAATGTTTATGTGTCAGCAGCAATCGTGAGAGAGTTAGCTTTACATTCCATTATAAAACAGAAAAACAAACCAACACATGTCATTTCATGGCAAGCATGCTATAGACTCATTAGAAAATTTCTGTAGTTTCCTGTGCTTTACAAAAATACCTACCTGGATTGTAGTTGGCTTCAGCAAACCTGGCCCATTTCTCAATCTTTTTATTTTTAAAAAATAACATTCCAATTAATCTTTGATATTATTCTACTTCATGTATAATAGTGTAAGAATCTTACAAGCAATTTACTTCTGTTTCCTCCTTCCCATCTTTTGTGTTACTGTTGTCATACATTTTAATTTCATATGCTATAAACCCCACAATACATGTATTGTTGCTATTTTTGCTTTATACAGTCATTTGTCTTTTTAAGAACAGTTTTTTAGGTATAATAGACATATGATAAACTGTACATATTTAAAATGCATGATTGGTAAGCTTTGACATGTTTACACCCATAAAACCATTACCACAATCAAGATAATAAATACATCCATCATCCCCCAGAATTTCCGCGTGCCCCTTTGTAATTTCTCCCTCCTGTCTCTCTGTCCCACCTCCCATTCCCAGGTAACCACTGACCTGCTTTTTGTCACTATAGGTTAGTCTGCATTTTCTAGAATTTTTTTTTTTTTTTTAGCTGAGCCATCCTGCTACCTGTTGGCAGCTCAGCGGCTGCTCAGCTCGGGCTGGACTCGAACCGCTGTTGCTCAGAGCTCAAACTCTTGAGCGAGCTCTTAACCAACTGAGCCACTCGGCCGGCCCTCTAGAATTTTATATAAATGGAATTACACAAAATAATTATGCTGGCTTCTTTCAGCATAATTATTTTGACATTCATCCACATTATTGTATAAAAATCAGTAATTTGTCCTTTTTATTGCCGAGTAGTATTTCATTATAGGAATATGCCACATTTTGTTTATCCAACTCACCTGTTGATGGATATTGGGGTTGTTTTCAGTTTTTGACTACTAGAAATAAAGCAGCTATGAACATTTGTGCACAAATCTTTGTTTGGACATATGCTTTCATTTCTCTTAGGAGAGGACTACCTGGGTCAGATTATTTAGTTTATTAAGAAATTGCCAAACTATTTTCTACAGTTGTTATTCCATTTATGTTCCCACCAGCAGTGTATGAATTCCAATTTCTTCACATCCTCACCAATACTTGGTTTGGTCAGATGTGTGTGTGTGTATGTGTGTGTGTGGGGTTTTATAACTTTATTTGACAATCAGCCATTCGTTCTCATTTACGTTTATTAACCATAGGTAATTTTTTTTTTAGCTGAGCCATCCTGCCACCTGTTGGCAACTCAGCGGCAGCTCAGCTCAGGCCCATGTGGGAATCAAACCGGCGACCCTGTTGCGCAGAGCTCGCACTCTTGAGTGAGCTCTTAACCAACTGAGCCACTCGGCCAGCCCTAACCGTAGGTTTTTGAAAGTAGTGACAGGTGCATAGGTAACAATGTATAGAGCTTGTTCGGTGAATCTTCATCTTCATTATGCTTTCTGGCAACCATTTACTGGTAAGGTATGGAATAGTCCTTATTCCTTTGGCCCAACAGCTTTTTTGAGCCTGGAGTCCATGTGCACATCAGGAGTTCCTGCTTCCTTCTGGGCAAATTTCTGAATCTCTTTGAATGCCCAAGGGACCATTTCTTGAAGCTCGCTTCATGGATGTGCTCGTGATTGTTGCTGGGATGCTCTCGGGTTGCCACCTTATTGATTGCAGAATCGCCCCTTCTCACCACCCTTCTTTGTGGGAGCCATTCTTGCAGGCCCAGGTTGAAGGGGAAGAGCATGAGGGATTGATTGTCTTGGCCAATCTTTTGATTTTATTTTTTTTATAATTTTTTTAAAACTTTATTGGGGAACAGTGTGTTTTTTCAGGACCCATCAGCCCTAAGTCAAGTAGCTGTCTTCAATCTAGTTGTGGAGGGCGTTTTTCCAGGACCCATCAGGGAATCGAACCAGCAACCTTGTTGTTCAGAGCATGCGCTCTAACTAACTGAGCCACCCAGCCGCCCCTTGGCCAATCTTTCTAATTTTGACCATTCTAATAGGTGTGTAGTGATATCTCATTGTGGTTTTATTTTGCATTTCTGTAATAACTCCTGGTATTGAGCATCTTTTCAGGTGCTTATTTGCCATTTGTGTATCTTCTTTGGTAAAGTGTTCAAATCTTTTGCCCGCTTTAAAAATTGGGTTGTGTGTGTTCCTGTTATTGTGTCTTGAGAATTCTTTATATATTCTGGATATGTCCTTTATCAAATATGTGATTTGAAAATATTTTTTCCCCATCTGTGGCTTATCTTTTCATTCTCTTAACAGTATCTTTCAAGGAGCAGGAATTCCTAGTTTGTACGAAGTTCAACTTGTCAATTTTTTTCTTTCAGATTATGATTTCAATATAATACCTATTTCATTTTGGTTCTTTTTTATTGTTTTGCCTTCAATTTCACTAGTCTTTTCTGCAATGTGTAATCAACTCTTAATCCTATCCAGTGTGATTTTCATCTCCTGAAGTTTAAGTCTTTTTTATAATCTTTCATGTTTCTACTTAGCTTTTTGAACATTTGGAATACAGTTATGATAACTGTCTTAACATCCTTCTCTGCTAATTCTAATATATGTGTTCAATTATGAATGGGTTTTGATTGATTATTCTCTTAATTATGGGTCATGTTTTTCTGTCTCTTTGCATGTCTGGTTATCTTTGATTGCATACTAGACATTGTTTTGAGTTTCACGTTGTTGAGTGCTAGATATTTTTGTATTCCTGTAAGTCTTGAATTTTGTGCTGGGATGCAATTAAGTTACTTGGAACCGGTTTGATCTTTTGGTTTTGCTTTTATGGTTTGTTAGGTGGGGTCTGGGACAGTGTTCAAGCTAGGGCTAATTATTCCCCACTACTGAGGCAAGACCTTTTGAAGTACTGTACTCAGCGTCCCATGAATTATCATTTTTTCCCGCGGTCTGTTGGGAATAGATACTGACCTCAACCATGTGTAATCATCTGGAACTGTTCCTCTAATCCTTGTGGAGGGTTCTTCCTCCAGCCTTGGGTAGCTTCCTCACACTCATGCACAGAGGAACGTTTTGCTGAGCAATCAAGGAGGGCCTTCTGCAGGTTTCCAGAGTTCTCTCTGTTCAGCCGTCTCCTTTCTGGTATTCTGTCCTTCAAATTCTATCTGCTTTGGTGTTCCCAGACTCTCAGCTCCATCTCCACAACTCAGGGAGTCTGCCTAGCCCCACCTCAGTTCCTCCTTCCTGCACTGTGTGACCTAGAAATTCTCTCAGGCAGTTAGCTGGGCCAATTGTAAGTCTGTTTTGTTTTGCTCTTTCAGGTGGGAGGGTAAATCTATTACTCTATCTTTCCTATATTGCGGTTTTGAATAATTTGCAAGATTTTTAAAATGCCTTTAAAATCTTTCATATTTTTTTATATCCCTTTTTTTTAATTCTGATCTTACATTTTATTAGGAAAACCACTTGAATATAGACTACCCAGAATAAAGTCCTGGTTCCATCTCTTATTAGCTAGGACATTTTGGGCAAGTCATTTAATTTATATGAAAATGGAGGTAACAATAATATCTATTCACACCGTTGATGTAAGAATGAAATGAGATTGTTTGATGGCATATAACGGATTGTAAGTATGTGGTCAGTAGATATGCACTAAACACTGTGGAGCGGAAGGTAAGCCTTGACTAATTCATGTATCCTGTTGTTCAGCCTTTAGTTCACCAGCTCATTGGGATGCTTTTGTCCATAGATCTGCTCTGGCTGCAGTCATTCTAGCAACGACATTGACTGGCCGAACCGTTGCCATTCCTCAGCCTCGTCGGAGATCCCGGTCTGAGAGTGACACGACTTACGTTGAGAAGGACAGTTTCATCGAGCCCTATGCCACCACCTCAGAGATGAGGCATCAGTAAGGACCATATTGTTGGCTCTGCTTCCTCTCAGGGCAGAGGAGTAGCAGCTCGCGTGTGTGCATGTGCTGGGGATTGTGGTCGTTTTCATGGCAGCACGGAGCCATGAGTTTAGTGCTGCCTTTAGCCCTTAGAAAGATTCTCTGCCACAACCTAGATGGTGAAGTTGTCCCTCACCACTTCTCGTGTAGCTGCTCCCTGAACATTCATACTGATTTTACCTTTGTTGACCTCTATATTATAACTTTTCTCCTTTAACGTCATTTCTTTCATTGCTTGAGCTGCATGCATGCTAACATAGGGTTAGGGGTTCAGGATCATTTCCTCCTGAGGAAGAGAGCATTGAGGGGAGCACTGAGGGATATGCAGCAATCAAGTGGGAATGGCTCAGGGGCTGGGGGGATGGTCAGTGCGGGGCTGGGATGAGCTTTCTAGACAGAGAGAGGTAGCGTGACTCATGTGAGCAAGGGAAGGAAGATGTTTGTGGCCAGGAAGACTCGAGTGAGGTTAGGAGTCGTTTGAGGTGGGACTAGAGGAGTGGGAAAGGGGCCAGGGCGGGGGCCAGGCCAGGGATGCCTTTGGTTTTCTGCTCTGAGGTTTGGTACCTCCCCTCTGAAGCAGGAAGACACTGAGGGGGATGGGGTGGGGGATATATGACCCGATTTGCCTCTTATCTGTCCTGTTTGTTCAGTTTTGTTTTTCTTGTTTTTATTTTTACATACCAAATATTCTGTTATGTAGTAAGATCGATGAGTCTTTTCTCTGTAGTTCCGGTCATCACTTGTCAAATCTAGAAAGACCTTCTCTACCACAGCATTATATAAACAAATGCTCGTGTATTTCTTTCTAGGACATGTTTATATTTTTGGTTTTTACATTTTAATCTTGACTCCATTATGAGATGTTTGAATATAGCCTGTATTTCTCCTGATAGGAATTATGCTTTGGCTAAAGCTGAGGACATGATGCTAAAATTTATTTGCAAGAATAAGCAGATAACACACCATCAGAGGAAATTTGGAAAGGAAGAATATTGACCCTGGGAGTTGGGGTGGTGGGGGGAGGTGGACTGCATTATATTTTAAAATGTGCAGTTGAAGTAGTTAAAATAGAGGAGGACTGTTCAGTGATAGACAGGTGTTCCTGAGTGCCCTGAGGTGAACCTAGTGTTTGCAAGCATATTGAGCCTCTCATAAAGGCAGTCCCACAGATTAAAGGGGGAAGGAAAGGATTCAACAGTATATTGATTAGAAATATTGGGGAAAAAAATCAGCTTTGAGCCTTGCCTAATTCATTTACCAAAACAATTCCTACCCAGTGAAAGATTTGATCTGTATATATACATAAATAAGACCATGAAATCCTATATCTAATCTTATCAAAACTCTCAGAAGGAGGTGACTGCTATTTACTCCTAAGCTAAGAATTTAAAAGGTAAAAACAATTTTTTTAATCACCAGCATGTTAATTGGACAAAGGACATGAACAGACAATTCAACCTAGAGGAATTGTGACTTGCATACAAATATATGGAAAAATACTCAGTATCGGTAAGAAAGGGAAATTTATATAGTGAGATTTAAAGTATTTTGGCAAGTTTCAGGAAATTATTATCAATGTGGGTACAGGTTAGGGAAATGTTCTGTGAAATGATTTTGTGGGGTATACGCATGTAGGCCCACAAAATGTTCATACCATTTGACTCAGCAGTATACCATGTGGTTGTTTGTTTGATAGGACTAATTCTAAGTACAGAAGAGATAATCTGCACATAGATGTCCGTTACAGGGTTATTTATAAGAGTGAAAATGGGGAGGAGGGGAATGGCGGACTAAACTGGTATAACTACTTGAGTCTTACCTTATAACATTCTGACTTTAAAAACTTATTTTTATTTATTTTTATTACTTTTTTAAAGATTTTATTGGGGAACTGGGGGGAGAAGACCAGTGTTGGGGAATTGGGGGAGGGGAACTGTGCTGGGGAATTGGGGAAGGGGAGCAGCCAAGTTCTTGTCCTTTAATCTTAGTTGTGGAGGGCGCAGCAAGCTCAGCTCCAAGTCCAGTCGCCCCACTCAGCTAAAGGTGCTGTGTTCAATTAGTTGCAGGTGGGTGTAGCCACCATCCTATGCGGGAGTCGAACTGGCAGCCTCATTGTTAAGCGTGCACACTCTATCCCCTGAGCCACCTGGGGCAGCTCAGCTCAGGGTGCCAAGTTTAGTCTTTAGTTGCGGGTGGGCATAGCCCACCATCTCGAACAGACAACCTTGTTGTTAGGAGCACGTGTTCTCACCAGCTGAGCCATCCTGGCACCTGTTGGCAGCTCAGAGGCAGCTCAGCTCGGGTGCAGCTCACTGGCCCATGTGGGAATCGAACTGACAACCCTGTTGCTCAGAGCTTGCACTCTTGAGCAAGCTCTTAGCCAACTGAGCCACTCAGCGGGCCCCCTTAAAAACTTATTAACAACGAGGTAGATTGTATGTAGCAATAATAACTATTAATATAATGACCTAGGTAAAAAACTAGAAAGAAATTTCAAGAATGTGCAGAGATGAGCTAGTGGATGACTTACTCCTTTAGTTAGTTTCTATGTATTTTATAATGTAGTTACAATACTTTATGGTGGGGGCTCAGCAGCCATGCATTTAATACATGCATATGTACCAGTGTGAAGTGTTACGTGACTGGTTTATTATTTATTTTTCTCTTTGATGTTCTGATACAGACTAAATTGGCAGAGCGAGATGGAAAAAAGAGCTTCTTTGCCATCCTTTGAAATGCTGGGCTACGGAGAGGAAGAGGACACTGACTCTCACCTGTCCTCCAGCTGCAAGGAGTCAGGGGACGTCAGTGCCTGCAAAGAAGACGGAGGCATTGGTGATGCTGTATATGCCGTGCCACACAGAAATCAGGTGCTTGTCACATTCTAGAATTCCTTCTGCACCTTGACATTAACTTACAGTAAATTGTGTAGAGTACATTAGTAAGGACTTGGTCTTTTTTCTCTTCTGCCTTTGATGGCTTTTGTTTGGGGGCTTATTTTTCTAACGTATCCAGGCTCATTTTCTATCTGGTTAGGGTAAAATGTAAAACTTTTCATTTACCTTTTAAGGACAAAGTCCTTCAAAGACAAAGACAATCATCTTTATGTTCTCAGTGTAGAATTTCCATCTAATACTAAGTAATCCTGCTTTTCTCTTTAACCCCAGAAGCTATTTTTTCTATCACTTCTAATATCGGTATGCATGTGGCAACCTTTCTTCAAGTTCATGCCTGACTCGATGGGTATCATCATTTATCTCCATAGTAGCTGATATTCTTTGAGTGGTTACCATACTCGTATGTGAGTCTCTAGTTCAGGCTCTTGCATGTAGCTATCTCCCACTATCTCAGTGAGGTAGGCTCCATTTACGGCCCTATCACATGTGGGAAAACAAGGTTCAGAGAAGTTGAAGGAGCCCATTTCTTCACCACTGCCCAGCAGCTCTGGTATAAACTCTGTGCTTCCAGGGTTTTAAAAACTGGATAAGTGCCATTTCTTCAATGGCAAAAGACAGCACCATCATTTTTTTTTCCTTTCTCTTTTTTCACCGTCACTATAACATGTGTTAAGCACAGTGACTACACATATAGACTGGCAGCATCCAAGTATATTCATATTGATTGTATTGTATTGATCAGCCTCCACTATATTGAATCCCATTTTAAATGGTCTTGTCTTAGGGAGCTTATTTTGAGGAATCCATATGTGAGTATTTCATGAACTAACAATCACTTTCTAACATATACAGACTTTAACTTGCAGAGTTAGTTTTCTGTGCAGCATGGAACAAGCAGACAGCTGCCAAGAGCCCAGAGGAGGGTCTTCTGTAGTTTCTAAAAGGCCAAAGAGAAGTCCCACTTTCTGGCTAGTATTGTGGACCGAGGTTACCGATAGAGACGTAACACTCAACTATTTTGGAAGTGAAGCTTGCTCCCATATTGTCCTTAGAAGAAAGAGATTATAGTGACCTATAAAACCTCCTTTGTCATGAGCAGGACAAATATTTTTTAGGCAAGTCTGTCATGGTGCCTCTAAGACCCATGCGCAGTAGGGAAAACATTTTATTTTAAAACCTGAAAAGTAGAGCAAGACAACTGAACTATCAGGGACTGGTGAGGCCGTGGAGGCACTCTCAAGTGCTGGTGGGATTGTCAGTTGGTGCCACCACTTTGGAAAACTATTTGGCACTATCTGTTAAAGCCGAACGTGTATATTTTCTATAAGCCAGCAAAAAAAAAAAAAAAAGAAAATTGAGAAGTAGAAAATAATATAATACATCAGTTTCTCGTTCTCCAGAATGAGCAAGTTTTGGCATCTTAACCTCTTTTTGCTTCAGATTTTTATTTTGAATAAAAGAAATAAAATTGCAGTTAGGGTTGAATTTTTCTTCATCTCTCCTTCCTGCTCCATCTCTGGAAGACCATCTTCTGTTGAATTTGGAATGCGTTCTAGAAGTCTCTGTTTTTATTTTTATTTTTTTACTACAAGTAAGTGTCAGGAAACAAATATAGTACTATTTTTTTTTTTTTAATTGTACAGAGGTCCCCATACTGAACCAGTCATTTCACCTCTTGGCTGTTCCCCCTCAGCATTGCACATTTGAGATGGATCCGTGTTACTGTAGCTCCTTACCTCCTGATGAACATTTGGGTTATTTCCTTGCACATTTAGTACATGTACCTATGTGTGCTGGTTCACACTATTGGATATTGCCAAATAGTTCTCCAGAGCAGTCGTCCCTTTTGCCTTCCCACCAGCAGCGTGTGCGTGCGCATTCCCACATGTTTGTATATTCATAGCCAATAGGAAAGCCCGTTCCCACATGTCAGGAACCGGAGGTGGAGTTTTATTAGTAACTGATTGCAATGGAAAGGTTTCATCATAACCTTTACAGTGTCCTGGCCAGTTCCCGATGGCATGTGTGAAAGGGCCCTTAAGCCGGAAAGGGATTTCAATTTCTCACAGCCTTACGATTCCATTTTTTTGTTTTTTGTTTGTTTTGTTTTTTTGTGGCGGGAGGAGGAAGTTCATATTGACCTTTTCTGAGCATTAATGTATGCTAGGCAGCTTACATGTACCAATTCACTTACTTCACACCCTTGGGGGTAAGAGTGTGAAGAAACAGGATAAACGTCTTGCCCGAGGTCAACCAATCAGCCACCCAATGGCAGAGGTAGGATCCAGACCAGGGTGACCCGTTTTCCCTATTTTTAGAATTAAAATTTGTGTTGACAGCCCTTGTGCCTATCAAGAATATCTCTTAGACATAAATCTTGTTTTTTGAAACAGGCCAAATAGTCTTAAATTTATTATGTGATATGAAAAATATCTATCTTTGGAAAAACGGGTGTGTGGAGCATGTAAGACTGCTATTTAATCACTAGATGGCACCAGCTCTGAAGGAGATAATGCCTACGGGGTACATTTTAATTTCAAAAACAAAGTAAAATTGACTTCCCGATATTTACTATAGACATTCTGTAATTTGAAGTAAAAAAATGTATCATTTTATCCTTTTTTGGGAATCAGTCATACTGCCTTTAAAGTAAACAGTTGTCAAAATAAGTAAGGCAAGAAACCAGACTAGCCCCAGCAGGCAATTTGGATGTTAAGTCTATACCACGTGCCTCTCTCTGTGTTTCAGGGGAGTGTGGGCAGACATCTTCATGTGAAGTGTGCACCTGCTCAGAAATGGCCTAACAAATGGAAAGCAAGTCTTGTTTTCAGCAGTTTTCTTGTTGGTGCCACCGAAAAGTAAGGCTGGAGGGACAGTGGGGAATATGACTTTGTGCTCAGTTCATGCGAAGTCAGCCCAGTGGACAGAGCAACGCCACGGGCATTCAGAGACCTGAGTTCAAGTCCCAGCTTCTCGACTTCCCAGTTGTATAACTTGGGTAAGTCAGATAGCCTGCCTGCACCTCAGTTTCTGCATCCTCTAAAGGATTATACCAGGGAGGAGAGTGTTCTTTGGTCAGGTAAATAATTCAACAGATATTTTTTGAGCATCCAGGGTGTACCAGGAATTGTGCCAGGTTCTGGAAAATCAGTATAAGACAGAGTCCATAGTCACACAATTAATAGTAATCAATTGCAGCTAGGATAGACATTACAAAGGAAGGGTATGTGTGTAGTATGAGACTCAACCTTTTCTGAGAGGACTCAGCTAAGAGTGACTGCAAACGCCTGCGAAGGAGTTACAGCCTCCCTTCTGAGGCCACCAAAAGCGAGTGAGCTCTGCTCTCTTCTAGTGTTGGGGTCTCCTCCCTGCAGCAGGTGAGGAAGCGTGGCTTTCCAACCCCTTCTAGTTTATTTACCCTAATGTACCAAGTCAGGGGAGGTCCAGCCTGTCAGTGGACCTACAAAGTTCCCAGTGCAGGCCTGAGCGGTCCGTTTACCTTACAAATCAAAACTGCCCCTTTCAGGGTTATTCCTCGGTTCACCGCACATTTTTACCACACTCTTGCCTGGACTTTACCCCGAGGTGAAGCTAGCTGGCACCCTCGGCTGCTCCACCTCTAATGACTAAATAATGCATTTTAGGTAGTGTTAGCATCATTAACAGGAGGAGAGGCATCTGGGGAAATGACTGTCCCATTCTGGGCTGGACCCTGTGCACCATTAAGGTTAATCACTGCTGGATCTTAGAGTCATCTCACTCTTACAGTCACAAGAATCTGGACACTGCCACTTCCTTGCTATGTCAGGTTTTCCAGTACCTTGCTTTCATTTTCAAGTCTTAGAATACTCCTGATGTCACAGATTAGTTGTGCATGTTTTGAACTTTATATGAACTTCATGAAATCATAGAACATGTATTCTGTTGCACCTGACTACATTGATAGACATTTAAAATGATATCTTCCTGGTAAATTGAACATTTTATCACTAAAGTAAACCCTCTTTATCTTTAAAAGTGAGTTTTGCCTTATGTCTGTTTCACCTAACATGCTCCATCTTTCTTTTGTTGGATATTTGCATGGTCTGTTTCCTCTGTCCTTTAATTTCAGCCTTTTTATATCATTATGTTCAGCTGTGTCTTATAAACAGCATATAGTTTTTTTAAAAAGTTTACTGAGATATAATTCACATACCATACTATTCATCCATTTAAAGTATACAATTCAATGCAGCATATAGTTTTTGTTAAACTTTTCCTTTGTCCTGAGTTTGATAAACTTTTCCTTTGTCCTTTTACTGGACTAGTGAGGCCTTTTATATTAATGGCTATAAGGATATAGTTGAGTTTAAATTTGCCATCTTACTTTATTTTTCCTGTTTGTCCTGTTGTTCTGCATCTCATTTTCTCTTGCCTTCTTTTGGACCGATGATTTTTTTCAGTTCCATTTCTCTCTACTAGTTTGCAAATTAACATTTTTTCCCTAATAATTACCCTAGAAATGATATCATGCACGTTTTATTTTTTAAAAGCTGAGTTAGTAAGAGGATGCAGGAGCCGAGGACAAGTGCTGCAGACAGACGAGGGAAAGGTCCTTCCTGGCGCCACTGATGACCGTGCCGTGGCTGGACTGGCTCGCTGCTGCTTCCTTTCCTTTAATGCCCAAATGAGTTTTGTTTCAGTTAGCAAGGTAACTTTTACAATCAGAAGTATTTGGTAGTTTAAAAAATGGTTCTTTTTTTTTTTTTTTTTAGCCATCCTGCCACCTGTTGGCAGCTCAGCGGCTGCTCAGCTTGGGCCGGGACTCGAACCGCTGTTGCTCAGAGCTCGCACACTTGAGCGAGCTCNTATCCATGTAACTAATCCCCTATTGCAGGATACCTAGTTTGCTTTCAATTTTTTTTTTTTTAAGCTGAGCCATCCTGCCACCTGTTGGCAGCTCAGCGGCTGCTCAGCTTGGGCCGGGACTCGAACCGCTGTTGCTCAGAGCTCGCACACTTGAGCGAGCTCTTAACCAACTGAGCCGCTCGGCCGGCCCAAAAAATGGTTCTTTATTAAAACTAAAAATGAGTGTTCCTTGAAGATTGTCGCAATTCTTTGGCTTATTTATCGATGTATTAAATATACACAAAAGGTGTGTAAACCATACGTGTACAGCTCAGTGAATTTTTACAAAGTAGTCCCCACCCAAATTTACAAAAAAGAACATGACTATTAATAGTGCCCCAGAAGTCCCTCTTGGTGACCCAGAAGAGGTCACTCATTACCCCAGAGTCAACCATTGCCCTGACTCCAAGAGTAGATTAAATATTAGAAAATAATGTTAGATTAGTTTTGCCTGTTGTGAAAATTCTGTGAATTTAGTCACACAGTATGTGTTTTTTGAGGTTTTTGAGAGTCTTCAGCTCTTGTGCATAGCAGTAGTTGGTTCATTCCTACTGCTACGTAATGTCCCATTGTATAACTATACCATCCAATGGCTTATACATTTTACTGCTGTTAAATACTTGGTTGTTTCCAGTCTGGGCCTTTAGGAATAGTGCTGCTATGAACATTCGTGGATATATGTTTATATTTCTGGAGGGTATATACTGAGGGGTGGTGTATATATTGTCAGCCTTAGTACTAGAAGATACTGCCCAACAGTTTTCCATAGCAGGGTATCTTTTTGATGATATTTGAGTCCCCTTAGCATTTTCACATTTCCTTGATAATAGTGAGTAGTTTATATATATCTTTGACAGGGCGAGCAAAGCAGTTGGTTCTCAGGAGATAAAAACTAAGGTCATTCCTTTTCTCTTCCTTCAAATGATGAGTAGAGTGGGAGAACTGTCTGCCACTCCTGAGCTGGGTCGCCTTAGAGCCCTGTGCACAGAGCCTGGTGGGCCCAACGGCCTTAGCTCTTGGCTCTGAGACGCTCCAGTGCATCTTGCTGGTCAGTGCCGCCCGCTCCCTGCCGGCCTTGGGGATGCCCTTTTATTGCCTGCAGCTCAGCACAGCAAACCAAGCTGATCACATAAGTAAGATTTTAGTGAAGAATCAAGATAGCAGAAGGGAAGCCAACCCAGAGAGCACCAGGCTTATTAGCTTTTTGTACGAGGCATGGTCCACTGCTCTTTCCCTTGGGTTGCTTCTGTCCCCGCCTCCCAGAGTCCTGCCAGTGAGACTGTCTCCTCATCAGGGGATAGATTGTCTCCTCATAAGGTCCCATCCCTGGCCCACAGCTCTGCAGCCCTGCCACCATTCATGATACCCACATAGGAGGTGCTCACAGACAGCGGAGGGGAGGGTTTCATTTCATCAGGAAACAATGTTTGCAGTGGACTCACATAGCCAGCAACCATAATGGACCTCGATCTGGAACAGTTGCCTGATTGAGGGCTCTCACAGGGCGAGTCGGCAGCTCTCGTCCCGTGTAGAGATAACACAGTATCAGTACCAGAGTCGGATGGGATGGGGTGCTCTGCACAGCAGGCCAGATGCAGCCCATTTTTCTGGCTTGGTCCCTGGCGGGAATGAGGAAGAGAGGCTACCCCGGCAGCATGGTGGAACATGAAGTTCTTGACGCCAAAGCATAATTTAAATGGCATTGACTTTGCCACTGGGCTTTTCCTGATGATCCCGAAGTTTCATCTAGTCCTGGCCAGGTGTAGTCCTTTTTGTGTCTCGGAGAGGGAGGTGGCATGGAAGAAGGTGTAGAATAAGCCACTTTAGTTTGCTAGGAGGAAATTTGATCATATGTTTGCTCCTTTGTTTTTTGTTACAAAAGGTTCCATTGTCACATGGGGTGGACAGTGAAGATGAGGAAAATATTTCTGAGCAAGATGGGTTTCCGGACTCCCCTCTTATGCCACAGTGTACGCAAGAAAAAGGTAAAAGAAAAAAACCAAACCCAACTTAAAAATAACTATAAAAACGTCTTGTGACAATAAATATTGGTTAATTTGGGAGACGTATAGCCATTGCACCGCTATACTGTGATCCGTGATTTACAAGTAGGACTATTCCTGAATTTTATTTTCACCAAAGATAAGTTACATCACAGTCAACTGCCTGGATGTTGGGTTTGCTCACTTTGGAGTCCATTTTGTCAGTTCTGTCAGCCCTGAGAGGACACACAGGGAAGCAGGTTATGACTCAGCCTCTGAGGCTCTCCGCACTCTTTCCCTCTGCTCCCTGGTGCCTGGTATAGCAAGGGGCCAGCACACAGTGATCTCCATGGGAACGAGTGAGGTATCTGTCTTGTTTCCCACGCTATCTCCAGAGCCTGGAGCAGAGCCTGGCCCACAGTGGGCTGTCACTAAAGGTTTGTTGGATGGATGAGTCCATGGACATGTTTATAATACAACTCTAACTGTACGTTAACAATTGTCTATATATGTTGTCTGGCCCGGTGAGAGAATTCAACGCATTATAGCAAAGGTAGGGAAGAGTTTTCAGTTTCCTAAGAGGTGGCTTATGTTGGAGAAGTGAGGACGAGGCATAGCATACAGTGGGCACCAATAACTGCTCTCTCAGGACCCTCAGAGTTGATTGTGCTCAAGGAGGCTCACATAAATCTGTTTACAAGGTGACTGACCGAAAAACAGAATGCCAGCCTAGTCATACCTGGGCCAGAAATGCCAATTGGTTAGGTGGTATATTTTATTCCTATGGGAAAATCTATGTGAGTATTAAGGTCATGTAAAAAGTGTATTTCTTTTTTATTTCTTTTTATTTTTTTTTAATTTTATTGAGGAGCAGTGTGTTTTTCCAGGACCCATCAGCTCCAAGTCAAGTCGTTGTTTCAATCTAGTTGTGGAGGGCGCAACTCAGTGGCCCGTGTGGGGATAGAGCCGGCAACCTTGGTGTTATGAGCACTGCGCTCTAACCAGCTGAGCTAACCGGCCGCTCCCAAAAGTGTATTTCTTGTTTAATTATAGAAATAATACTATAAAAAAAACCACACCTGAAATGCAGACATATATCAAGCTAACCACACATAATTGTACCCCCATAATTAATTTTAACATACAATTGTGTATGTATAGAAAATACATGTTATTTTGTTACCTGCCTTTTAAAAATCTTCTGACCCATCCTGAATATCTCCCTACATTCATACACATCCATCCACTTTCTAATGTCTGTGTTACCTGTGGCCTGAAGTGTCACATAACAGTCAGAATCCAACCAGGACACAGAAAGCACATGGTGCTTTGACTAGGGAAAGTTGAATAAAAAGAGTTATTTGCTGTAACAGGATTGCCTACTAAGGGGTAGAAAGAAGTCTAAAGAACACAGGAAGAGCATGTAGAGGGAACAGCCACTCCCTCTACAGTGAATACAATGCACCCAAGGGAAAATCACCCACGGCCAAGATGCAGACATTGGAGAGGGTGCAGCTGTGGCCCACTGGCTAGCTGAGAAGTTAGCTGAGATGGTGTGCTAACAGAGCCCGCTGGGTAGCTCCCTTCCCCAGGGGAGTACCAGGAGAAGCCGCCCATGAGGAAGTGCTGCTGGCCACCTAGAAAAAGGGGGGAGAGCAGGAAGAGAGAGGGAGGAAGGGAAGGAGGGATGCATGGACACAGCATACTGGAATGAGGAATGAGGACCCCAAGCCTCTTCCTCCTCTAGTGTCTCCAGCGCCCTCTACTGATGAAGTTTATCATTGCACCACCTTGCTGGTAGAGAGACTGCGGCAACACAGGCAGGTGACACCAGGTGGACTTGGAGCAGAGAGGCATTGATAACTGGCACACTTGGTGACATGAACTTGGTGGTGTTTGGGATGGGTGCAGCTCCTGCAGTGGTTTTTGGTTTATGAAAAAGGCCCCATACCCACTCCAAATTTTAATTCAGTGGCTCTAGGCTAGGGCCCAGAGGTCTGTATTTTTAACAAACATTTTGGAGAGCCTGGTGGGGGTGATCCTTGGACAACACATTTGAAACCCTGGTTTGTTGTGGTTTGGTCCTTGACTCTGTCATTTCTAGGTGATAAGAGGCTTGGTTGAGTTCCTTAACCCCGCTTCCACTCAGTCTGAGTGCTTCTCATCAGGTTATTTAAAGGTTAAATTCAGTCACGTGTGTGAAGCACAGCACCTTTTATAAATGCTAGCTGATAATTATCGTCTAAAGACTAAAACCATCAAGCTGTGTGAGCCCAATGCTCCTCTCTGTTCTCTAGCAACACCCGGCCAGGAAGACCGGACACTGAAGTCCGTTGGTCCAGGTACCCGTGCCTTAGTCAGAGCTGCCAATTCTTGCTCATGGATGTCATCCCTCCCCTGTCCTTTGACCCCAATAGAGCTTTCCCACTGGTGCTTCCTCTTTCTCCTCCACAGCCAGATTTGTCAAAAGGTACATCTCCACACACCCTCCCTTCCCAGATCTGACAGTGTCTCCTCCACCCACTCCAGTTTGGCTCTGCCTCCATTACTCGCCCAGACCAGTGACCTTCATCCTGCTGAATACAGTGCATGGTGTTCTAGCTTCACCTTATTTGACTTGTCAGGAGCATTCCACACAGGTGATTGATTGCTCCTGCTGCTGTTGTTGGTTTTTAAAAAATTTTTATTGGGGAATAGCCATGGTCATTGTTTACACATTGCTTTCATGTTACAGTGGCATAGTTGACTCTTTTTTTTTTTTTAATTGGGGAATTGGGGGAGGGGAACAGCATTGGGGAAGAGGAACAGACAAGTTGCTGTCCTTTTTTGTTCTTCAGTCTAGTTGTGGAGGATGCCGCTTCATTGGCCCATGTTAGTATCATGATCATTGAGCTCTTTCCCAGCTGAGGCAGTAGGTCCCAGCTATTGGATGGCCACTCATGGCAGCTCACGGCAGCTCTCGCCAGCAGCTGCGGGCCACTCATGGTAGCTCATGGCAGCCCACTGCAGCCCCACTGCAACCTTCACTGTCACCGTTGACTCACAGCAACCCAGCTCCAGGTCGAGCTGTTGTTCACCATCTTAGCTGTAGAGGGCGCAGTGTCACTGGCCCATGTGGGAACCGAACCCGTGGCCCTGCTACTCAGAGCTCGCACTCCCAAGCCAACTCTTAACCAAGGCACCACTTGGCCGGTCCCCTAGTTGACTCTTTTTTTTTAGATTTTTTTATTGAGGAATTGGGGGAAGGGGAACAGAAAAGTTGCTGTCCTTTTGTTCTTTAGTCTAGTTGTGGAGGACGTTGCTTCACTGGCTCAAGTTGGCACCATCATTGCGCTCTTCCTGGGCGAGGCAGATCAGTCGCCGGCTTCTGGACAGCCGCTCACGGCGGCTGCTGGCCGCTCACGCCGGCTGCTGGCTACACACAGTAGCCCATGGCAACCCACCTGCCGTCGCAGGCAACACACGGCAACCCAGCTCCAGGTTAAGCTGTTGTTCAGCATCTTAGCTGTAGAGGGCAGTGTCACTGACCCTCATATGTGGGATCCGAACCGGGGCCCTCTGGCGTCCCAAGCCAGCTCTTAACCAACGCGCCACTCGGTTGGCCCCCAGCTGACTCTTTTAAGGAGGGCGCAGCTCACAGTGGCCCATGTGGGGATCAAACCAGCAACCTTGGTGTTATCAGCACCGTGCTCTAACCAACTGAGCTAACCGGTCACCCCACTCCCGCTGTTTTAAAGTGATGTCTCCCCTGGCTTCATGAGCTCGCCCTCTTGTTTCCTCCCACCTCTCTGGGGGCCCCGTCTTCATTTCCTTTGCAGGCTCGTCTTTCTCTACCTGCCCATTAAATGTTGGGGTTCTCCAAGGCCCAGTCGAGGCCCTTTTCTCTACTCTTAGAAGTAATCGCTCTCAGTCCCCCTGTTTCTGGTACCATTTGTTGTGTGCTACGCCCAGGTTTCCTCTCCCAGCTCATGACCCCATGTAACCAGCTGCCTGCTGTTTGATTCCGTTCTTTCCTTCACTCAGCCAGCAAATATATGTACACATATGGTGTGCCTGCTATGTTTTGGCACCAGGTAGCAGCTTGAACAGTCTTCTCAAAACATGAATCTGGTAGTGTCCTCGCCTAACCCCCTACACCCCCCACCACACACTCTTTTTACTTGGATTTCTTCAGTGATTTTCCACAGACTACAAGACCTACCTGGCCTGCCCGTGCTGACCATCCTCCAGCCACTCTGGTGTTCTTTTATTCCCTCAACTGCATGATGTCTGCCCTGCCACTGGGCCTTTGTACATGATTTTCTCCTCCCCATCATCTGATGTCTGTTATATGTAGACTTGTGAAAGGAAGCAGGACGTGGGGTTTATGTATGTTTGACTTTCTATATATTCAGATAGATCTGAAAGGAAACATACCCAATCGAGAACCTCTTGGGAGGGCAAGGTTCAGAGGATGATGGAGTTTTGATTGAACTCTAGGGTTAGGATTTTTGATGGCATGTGGTGTGAACTTTCTTTCTATAAATAGCGGGGTAGCATCTGGCGTGGCATCTCGTATGCAATGGGATGTCCAATATGGGAGACTTTTGTTGTTATTTTAATAGTTGATACCACTTGCCTGTACAGATTATAGAAATGAGAAGAGTGAGGACGCTGGAAATCTTTTTGAGAAATTATAAATGAGAAAATAGGAAATAAAATATAGGCACAGAGCCAAAAGAACTGCATTTACGTTACATTACATATACCAAAGTAAACTTGGGGTGATGTAAATTCTGAGTTCAATCTTCATCAGGTTCTTTTTTCTGAAAAGTTGATGATTAAGATAAAACAGAGGTCATTATTTATTTTCTTGGGGAAATAAGTGAATTGCCCCTTAAAATCTTTTTAACATGGTAATTTTCAAACATGTACAAAAGTAGAGAGAATAGGGAAATGAACTCCCATGTATCTGTCACCCACCTTCTTCTGCTGTCCGCATTTTGCCATTTTTCTTCATTGAATCCCCTGCCCCTCCCCAACTTTGTTTTGTGAAGAATTGAAGGGGGACTTAGAAGATTCCATTACATACGAAGGCAGCAGATCTGATGCAGTATTGTAAGATACCCAATCAAAACTGTTGTAAAAGAGTTATTAAAACTTTCTCTTGTTTTGGTATCAGTTTAAACAATTGCTCACCAGAAATTTTTTCAGCACTTACTATGAGCCAGAAATGATACTGCCATGGGCCCTTTCCCTCACATTCAGGTTGCCAGGGAGGGGTGGGATGGGGGGGGGTGGGGATGTGCAGATGGCCAACTGCCTGGGTGGAGGCAGGCACAAAGACGTTGTTTGCCTGTTTGCCGATTGTAGAAGGCAGCAGGGAGAGGTAGCCACATGACTGGACTCGGAAGGACTGGGTAAGATTTCATCCGGTGCCCCCGTCCAGGCTGCCCCACAATACTTGATCAAAAGCAGTTTGGTTCACAATAGTGGGTCAAGATGACTTTTTTGGTCAAAAATAAGCTCTTCAGCGATTCATTGTTTAAGTGTTGGCAATTGTAATGAACCAGGAAGTAGATTTCTAATCTTGTTTGCATCCTTAAGCATTTTTTTGTCTGTTTTTCTGAATTCTAATCTGCTCTGCAAATTAGTCGTGGAAACTTAAAAGCAACCAACTTTTGAAAGTTGAAAGTCCAGCTTTTCACTACAGCAAAAGGTACAAGCAAACTGGAACATAAGGTCACCCTCTTCGTGGAGTATCTTGATCACAGATGAAATCGTTGTACGTTGACAATGAGTGACTGGGCACAATTTGTTTTCATCCGGGTCAGTGAAGCAGTTTGCTTCAAGGAACAACTACTTTTATGACCAAAGTCAGATGCTACTTCTAGGCAGGATAGGCTGAGCCCATTTGGGGAATGGCTGGTGGAACGTGGGGAGAGAGCACAGGGGTGGGGTCTGTTGGAAAGGTGGAGAGGATCCCCCACACGGGAAGGGCTCAGAGCCCCACTGAGGGGTTTGGCCTTGGCTCCGCAATCCTGTGAGTCACGGAAGGTGGCCAGGAAGGAGCAGAATAGACAGATGAGCAGTTCAGAGTTGGGCTCCCTGTTTTGCTCCAGGACCAGCTTGCTCTGTGACCTTGTAAAGCCTGTCCCTGCTCGAGGCCTCGTGTAGCTCATCTGGAGAAAGTGAGCTCCTGTGATTTTATTCTTCTGAGTTGTCAAATGTCTTTAATCTGCTTTACATTTGTTTTCCTCTTTTTTGTTTTTAATCAGATGGTAAATATTCTGTTCTGAATTTGAAGGTAAGATGAGTTTTTTAAAAACCGATTTTCTCAACAGACAGAATTCCCACCATAATTTAAAAACTGCTTTTGTCATTTCTAGGGGGTGGGGGAATCTTCCCTTAAGAGTTGTTTTCCATTGAATGTTTCTTTTTAAATACTTTAAAAACATGAAGAAACTTATATTAGCTGTCATTGAAAAATGAAAATAATGAGAGGTTAGAAATCACTTACATAATTTGTGGAACGAATAGACAATAACTCATTTGCAAACATGAATAGTTCTGACTTGTTTTTAATTGTGCGATGGCATAGGAATTTAAAAATTAAACATTTCTCAGTAGAGTTAATGTATAACCTTATCTACTTTTTCAGCAGAAATTAGAAACTTAATATCAGACTGATGCGTAGTGGAAACATTAGCAAAAGTTCAAAGCCTTCCCCCTTTCCTCTAAGATTTGTGTTGAAAAGCGAGATCTTATATGCTTGTCTCAGCACCTTGCACACACGCTTCTCTACAATGGATGGGGTCTTTTTGTGTATCCCAAGGAGAAAGGCCTGGTTGGAGTTTGCTTTGTGCATCTCTGTTCGGCCCTTGCAGCTGTTCACATGCTTTAGAATGTGAACCGATGGCCTGTTACTCATGGGACCTGCATGTAAAGACACAGTGACTGAACTCACAGGCAGAAAGGCAGGAAGAAAGTTCGCACAGAAGGTGCTAAGACCCTTAATTCAGTCCTCTCATGTTTTGTTTCCCCACCCCCAGGATGAAAAACCACCATTATGTGAAAAACCTCCACCAACCCCAGGTATTTGCCTTTTGAATTTCATTATGATTGAAAAACTCATAGTTTTATAGAATATCCAGAATAACCTCATCTAAAATAAAGGTCATTTTTTTTCCTTTAAAGGCTGCTGCTTCTATCCCGTTACTGGAATTGGGAAAAGGTAGCAATTGAGCAATTGTTGAACTTCTGCCTTTGACTTAAAAGAGAGGGTCCAAACATTCAAACATCAGATGGTGGATATATGTCCCCATGGGATGGGCTCAGATCCTGGGGGACTAGCCGGGGTGAGGGCCCTGTGAGATGTGCTTAGATGCCCGGGAGGGTGGGCTCTGCTCAGGGGCTGGAGGCAGAGTGTGAGGTCTAGAGATGCATTCCGGGGTGCTCTCCCCTATACCATTTGGGGAGCTTCAGTAGCTTTCAAAGTGAATTTTGTAATGTTTGCCTTTTATGCCGCACATCACTAGTCTGAAAATAGTATTGGGTATCAAGACTTTTAAGTCTATCCTCCGTGTAGGATTGACTTCATTTTCACCCACTCTACCTTGGTGATTTTGGTGCTATGTTGTGGGAAGTTACTAGGGCTTCAACTTCTAGCCCAGAGTCTCATTCATCATTGTATATATTCTGCTACGCAGCCCATGCTTTGAATTTACGTATTAATCAAAGTGTTCCTTTCCATGATTTCTATGGAGTGTCGACAAGCATCTCTCTGAGAATATTAAATACACTCATTCCAAAATCACTCTCTCCTCTGTTATTTGACTTTGGTGCTTCCCTTGGCTCAGACACTTGATGGTTCTTGGTAGCGTGCCCTCCTTGGTCCTTGAGCGGCCCTGTTGGTCTGCCTGGGGATGCTGTATCTGCTTACTGCAGGCTGCTCAGATGGGGAACCAGCCAGGCTGCCAGTCATACAACCTGTCTCTAGTGAGTGACGGGGACAGGCAGAGTGTGTGGTCAGTGGAGGGTGGAAGGGACCCTCTTCCTCCTGGGATTCTCCAGCTCCCCTGGGCCTGCCCTGTCTCTCAGACCTCAGGGCCTGTAGGTACTGCCTGCCGAGGGGCACGCATCTCTGCTGTTGACTGCCCGCCCATCTGGTGTTCTAATGGGATACCTCATCAGTCTTTTCTGGGCCACTTCGTGTTCCCACTACCTGCCAGGGCACGGCACTCCCACCTTTTGTAGCTGACCTCTCTTGACCTATTTTAGGCTGCAGCTTCTGTCTTCAATCTAATCTCAACTGTTTTCTTTCTGGGATTCCCCATGGTTCTCCTCTTGTTCTCAGTGTAGTGGTGGAGTTCCTCATTTCTTAGGCTTTCCTTTCATGTTCTAGAGTCTGGATATATGTGTACTAGAGGCTAGGAGAGGCTATCTGGACCCACCAGTCCCCCCCTTAGCCCTTGCCTGCCTTCTGGGGCATGTGCCACGTCTACTGTCTGGAGCCACCAGCTCTTGCCCTGTCTGCCCTCAGAAGCTCTCTTCTGTTTCCACCTCCATCTGGATGTGTGCCCTGGCCAGAGAGCCCAGTGTAATTCTCACCGCCGTTGGCATCTCTGAGCATATCTGCCCAAGAAACATCTCTCTCTCTTTTCCTCCAATCTTTCTTGCTGTTCCTTCTTAAAACCCTTTGTGATCTCTGGTTTTCTCCTCTCCTGGTCCTTCAGGTCCTGCCCACGTGCTGGCGGCTCCTGTCTCTTCAGCTGAGGCTGCCGTCAGAGCTTGGGGCCTGTGTCCTAAACTGAGCTTACCTTCTCTTGCTCCACCTGGATTCCTTGTCTGGCAAAGTGTCTTCCAAACCACAGATCTTGGTGCAGATCCTCAATTTGCCTCTCTCTTACTGCCCACACCCAGTCAGCCATTGAGTCCTGTCAATTTTAGCCCCTAAATCCTTCTCTCGAATGTTCTTTTCTCTCTGTCCCCACTGTAGCGCTGCCTCTTGAAGCCCCTCTGTGCTGGGCCTTGTTACAGTTTACTTTCTTTACTACTCTCCTGAGGGGTTCATCTGAGAGTAGGATCTCTTCCTTTTTGAACCTCTGCCTAAAAGCCTTTCTGGCTCCTGATGGCCTCTGCTCTGTATATTATGATATGCAAGGGCCTCCCTTGGTTCCTGCCTCCCCTTCTGTCACGTCTCTTCCTGTCCCCTGCTGTAGTCTTGTCATTCATTCCTGTATAGGCTGTTCTCTTTCCAGGGCCCAAAGAACATAGCACGAGGCCTGACATGAAGGAGTTGCTCACGTGTTTTTTCAAATAAAGTGTTGTGTAATTTTGATGTAAAATTGGAAATATCAGTTAATATTTTAAAACTTTTCCCCTGTGTACCTTTTCAGGTATAACTGGCAAAACACGTCAACGATATACAGAAATAACCAAACAAAATTTGGAGGAATTAAAAGAAGAAAATTTGCATCTGAACAGTACAAACCAGACCCTTACTCTTGAACTTAACATAGTCAAACGAGCAATGAAGGAACTACAATTAAAATTTAAGAGAACAGAAAAAGAAAATAGAAAGCTGAAAGAGGCTGAGAAAGCACCCTCTCAGGAAGGTGGGGACAACTACACAGTTCTTTTGTTAAAGAAACAAACAGGACTTCATTCATTTTCTTATTTATTTTGAGTTAACATTTTAGGTTACAATATTTGTTGACATGAATATTGATATTTTCTGTTGTTATATTTTTGGCTCTTTCATTAATATCCTTATATTTGTTGAAATTAGATTTTATCTACTATATCATTATTATTGTTAATGCTAAAGAAATTCCAATACTTCTGGAATTTGATGCTTAGGAAAGTAACTTACATATATTTCATATCATTTTTTATCCCTCCGAGCTGCATATATAAGTGCCATTTTCACCACATACCTATCAGTGATGAGGATTGATTTCTTGCTAATTTGATAGCCACAAAAAAAGGGAATCCCATTTTAATTTATATTTCCTTTATTATTGATGAGCTTGAATTTTTTTTTCCATATCTTTTCAGGTCATTTTCTTTTTTATAAATTTTCCCATTTAAATTGAGATACTTGGCCTTTTCTTATTGGTTTGTAGGAGCTCTTTACGTATTAAGGATTTTAGCCCTTGTCATTTATGTTGTAATATCTCACTTTGTTGATAATTTAACTAAATCTATAGGATATTTTTCTTTTATGACTTATGCCCGTGGTGTCAAGTCCTTTTTACCTGTAAGGTTATATGAATATTCACTACTGTTGTCTCTATAATGTATCTATTTACATAAGGCTAATATTATGGCCTGAAGAAAGATGATAAAGCTTTCTTCATATACACCTTGCATATTTCTTGTCTTAGGCACATTTATTTCTAGATACTTTATATTATTTGTGTTATTGTTTTGTGGGATCTATTTTTTCTATTATATTTTCTAATAGGACGTTGCAGTTATTTGGGAAGGTTGTTAGTTCTAACAAATTTTCAATTTATTTTGTGTGATTTGCAAAGCGAATATTTATATATCATTGGAAGCAGTGATTTTTCCTTTCCAATCTGAAATTTTTATTTTACCTTAATTGTACATGGCAAAATTTTCCACAAACTTCCAAAACAGTGTTGACTATTCAGTGTTAAAAAACTTAGAAACTTATTCATTTATACCTGTATAGTTGTCATTCACTACCTTGTGATCCTAAAAGGAAAAAAGTGCAAATTATTAGCAATTTATAGAAAATCTTAATTTGTTACAAGTTCTTATAATATTAACTTTTTTTTCTGTAGTTGCTGCACCTGAATTACTTTATCTAAGAAAACAAGCTCAAGAACTGGTGGATGAAAATGACAGGTTGAAAACGACTATCCATCGTCTGAATGTAGAACTGAGTAGATATCAAACAAAATTCAGGCATTTATCCAAGGAAGAGGTAATGTTTCCAATTAAGAAAAATAACTTTTCGGATTTTTTTAGTCTTTCCTATTCAATTTACTTCCAACCATGACGGGTTCATATTTATTATTATTTGGTATAAAAAGACACATACAAAGCACAGTCTTTCTAGGAGCCTTTCTATTTCCTTCTTCTCTCCCTCCTTCCTTCCCTCCTTTTCTACCTTCCACTCTCCTTCCCTCACTCCCTTCCTCTTTCTCCCTCCCTCCCTCTCTTCCTTCCCTCCTTTCTTATAACAAAGGCAATAAAGGCTCTTTGTATAAAATTGGGACAAAACAGGAGTTTATGTAAAGTAAAAGAGTGGAAGTCCATGTCAGTGGTTCCTTTCTCAGTCCTGTTGCTCAAGTTTACAGCTGTTGTTAGTACACTAATTTTCTAAAGAAAGCAGGCCAGTTTTTACAGGCCCCCCAAACACCTAGCTCTGATAGCCAATGGGGCTTTTTTTTTTTTTTTAAGATTTTATTGGGGAATTGGGGGAGGGAACAGTGTTGGGGAATTGGGGAAGGGGAACAGACAAGTTGCTGTCCTTTTGTTCTTCAGTCTAGTCGTGGAGGACGTCGCTTCACTGGCCCATGTTGGCACCATCATTGCGCTCTTCCCAGGTGAGGCAGTGGCTTGCCGGCCATTGGATGGCTGCTCACAGTGGCTCACGGCAGCTCACGAAAGCTCATGCCTGCTGCCGGCCAGCCCCATTGCAGCCTGCGCGGTCGCCAGCAACTCACAGCAGGCCAGCTCCAGGTTGAGCTGTCATTCACCATCTTAGCTGTAGAGGACGCAGCGTCACTGGCCCACATGTGGGATCCAAACTGGGGCCCTGCTGCTCAGAGCTCACGCTCCCAAGCCAACTTTTAACCAATGCGCCACTTGGCTGACCCAATGGGGCTTTTATTCACAAGTCCCATATAGCACTATGGCAAACAAAGAAGCAGTTTTTAAATGGGCTCAGGAGCACCCCTTACACACCCTTATGACTATCTACCCAGGTTCAGCACAAAGGGAGCAAGCAAAAATGACCATGTCCCAGTTTTTCCCTGGGAGGGGTATAACTACATACTTTCCCAGCTTTTGCCTGAGAGTCTGGCTTCTAATCTAGGTGCTCACTGCAGTCATTCTCCTTGGGACACTGGTGGGTCTTAGTACACCCTCAAGTACTGAGAGCTATTAAGAGCAAAGACAGTGGACAATCACAAAGGTTTGAAAGGCAGCCAGGAGCTCCAACCAGGCTGGTTAATAAGGCTCATCCCTTATAAGAGACCATTCTGTCAAGACAGGGAGAGGTGGCTGTTTTATGTAATGCACAAGCATCAACATAGAAGGTTGGAGAAAATGAAAGAAAAAAGGAATATGTTTCAAAGAAAAGAACAAATCTCCAGAAACCAGTTCTAATGAAATGGAGTTAAGTGATATACTGAATAGAGAGTTCAAAATAACAGTCATAAAGATGCTCTTCAAGGTCAGGAAAACAATGCAGGAACAAGTGAAAATTTCAACAGAGACAGAAAATGTAAAAAGGTACCAAACAGACATCATAAAGCTGAAGAATACAATAACTAAACTAAAAAATTCAACAGAGGGGTTCCATAGCAGACTACAGCAAGTGGAATTAAGGATCAGCCAACTCGAAGACAGGGCAGTGAAATTCATTGAACTAGAGGATCAAAAAGAAGAAACAATGAAAAAGAATGAAGATAAGGAATTTATGGAACACCATCAAGCAGAGGAATATACATGTCTTAGAGGCCTCAGAAGGAGAAGAAAGGGACAGAAAATTTATCAAAGAAACAATAGCTGAAAACTTTCCTAACCTGGAGAAAGAAACAGACATCAGGATTTTGGAAGTCCAGAGTACCAAATGCGATTAATCTAAAGAGACCAACACCAAAACATATTATCACTAAATTGTCAAAAGTTAAAAGCAAAAGAGAATTTTAAAAACAGCAAGGGAAAAATAAATTCTTCACATACAAAGGAGCCTCCATTAGACAATCAGAATTTTTCAACAGAAACTTTGCAAATTACAAGGGGGTTGGATGATATATTCAAAGTACTGAAAGAAAAGATTTTGCCAACCAGGAATACATTAACCTGGTAAATTTGTTCTTCAGAACTGAAGAAGAGATAAAGTGTTTTCAGACAAATGAAACATGAAGGAGTTCATAACTGGCAGACAAGCCTTGTAAGAAACAAAGGAATTCTTCAAGCTGAAAAGAGTGGGTGCTAATTAGTAACAAAATCATATGACAGTATAAAACTCACTAGTAAAGGTAAATATATAGCTAAATTCAGAATACTCTAATATTGTAACGGTGGTAGGCAAATCCCTATTACTCTAGCATAAAGGTTAAAGACAAAAGTATTCAAAATAACTACATAATTAATGGATGCACAATATAAAAAACTATAAGTTGTGATATCAAAAACAAAATGTGGGGCTTTTCTGTCTCCCGGGCCCCCTGTCCCCTCCCGGCCTATCGCCCTCGGACCTGGGACCCACGCTGGGAGGAGGGTTGCCTGGGTCTCAGCCCCTCCCCGTCCCCAGGCTCCCAACTCCCTGAGGTATTTCTACACCTCCTGGTCCTGTGAGACCCGGTTCATCTCCCTCGGCTACGTGGATGACACGGAGTTCGTGCGGTTCGACAGCAACGCCGCGAGTCCGAGGATGGAGCGGACGCCGTGGATGGAGGGGCCGTGGGTGGAGCAGGCGCTGCCGGGGTACTGGGAACAACAGACGCAGGTCAGCAAGGGCCATGCACAGAATGAACCGAGTGAACCTGTAGCCGGCGCTCCACTACTGCCACCAGAGCGAGGCCGGGTTTCACACCTACCAGGTGATGTGCAGCTGCGACCTGGGGCCGGTCGGGCGCCTCCTCCGCGCTTCTGAGCAGTATACCTACGATGGCGCTGACTACACCGCCCTGAACGAGGACCTGCGCTCCTGGACTGCGGCCGACAGGGCGCAAGTGGGAGGTGGCCCGTGCGGCGGAGCACCTGAGGGGCTACCGTAAGAGCCTGTGTGTGGAGTGGCTCCGCAAATACCTGGAGAAGCGGAAGGAAACGCTGCAGCGCGCAGATCCTCCAAAGCCATACGTGATCCACCACCCCACCTCTGACCGTGACGTCTCCCTGAGGTGCTGGGCGCTGGGCTTCTACCCTGTGGAGATCACTCTGACCTGGCAGCGTGATGGGGAGGACCTGACCCAGGACGTGAAGCTCTTGGAGACCAGGCCTGCGGGGGACGGGACCTTCCAGAAGTGGGCAGCTGTGGTGGTGCCTCCTGGAGAGGAGCACAGATACACGTGCCATGTGCAGCACAAGGGGCTGCCCGAGCCCCTGACCCTGAGAAGGAAGCTGCCTCCTCAGGTCACCGTTCCTGTGGGCATCATTGCTGTGCTGGTCCTCCTTGGAGCTGCGTTCACTGGGGCTGTGGTGGCCGGAGCTGTGCTGTGGAGGAGGAGGGTGCTCAGGCTGCAAGCAGTGACAGTGCCCCAGGCTCTGATGTGTCTCTCTCTTCTAAAGTGTGACACAGCTGCCTTGTGGGGGACTGAGTGATGCAAGATTCGTTCATGCCCCACTTTGTGACTTCAGGAACCTCTGACCTCCCTTTCTGCAAGGGCATCTGAATGTGTCTGTGTTCCTCTCAGCATCATGTGAGAAGATGGGAGACTTTCCGCCCCCTACCCTCCATGTCCTCCTCCCCACACTGAGTCTCTTCCCTGACCCACTGTCCTGTTCCAGCAGAGGCTGTTTCCATCCCCGCCTTTACTTCATGTTACTCTGAGCGGCAACTTCCTACTTCTGCTGAAATAAGAATCTGGATGTGAATCTGTTTTTTTCAGTTCTGGCCATGAAGGGTTGATGGGTTAATTAAAGGAGACGATCCTAAAGTTTGAGAGGAAATAAATGGAAGACCTGAGAACCTTCCAGAAAAAACAAAAAAACAAAACCAAAAGACCCCAACAAAATGTGGGGTTAGTGGTAAAAATGTAGAGCTTTTGTATGTTTAATGTGTACCAAGACCCATCAGTGTCCTAACAAGGGTGATTATAGTCAACACCTAGGTACAGACTGATTACAAACTCAAAGTTAAGTTATTATTTAGCTTAAAATAGATTATTATGTTTTATGTAAGATTCATGGCAATCACAAAGCAAAAAACTATAGTAGAGGTACACAAAAGAAAGAAAGGAATCAAGAATCAAAGCAAATCACTACAGAAAATCATTAAATCACAAAGGAAGAGAGTAAGAAAGGAACTACAAAACAACCAAAAAACAATGAAAAAAATGGCAATTAAAAAGTCCATACTTGAGAAAAGATGGCTCCCAGCTGCTGGCTGTGCGGGAGGAGGATCTCCTCACAGGGAAATGGCGACTGCCCTCCAGCCCTCAACCTGAAGCAACACAACAGTATGTCCCCCATCTGCCTCTGGCATCCCCGGAGTTACTGTCTCACTGCTGGAACCCAAGGAGTCTGGAAAGACTGGTATGTGATTTGGGACACATCTCCTAAATGAACAACTGTTGAGCACAGTGCATAGGTTCTTTCATAAATCTTTTCATGGAGGTGAAGAAATTCTAAAAAAATATACACTCTGTCTAAATTTGGTTCTATAGACGTTTGTTGCAACTTGCAAAACCACATCCTGGAGAAGAAGAAAAAAGCCACATTATGTGTACAATTCCTTCAAGCACGTATTCATTTGTTACCGGAAACAACATTATGATTTATGATTGGCAACTGCGTTTTGAAAGTAAATTGATTATTTTATCCCCTAAAATTACCAATACAATTTCATCCTAAAAACCAAAAAAAAAAAAAAGTCCATACTTACCAGTAATTTTTTTAAGCGAAAGGACTAAATATTCCAATCAAAAGACAGAATGGCAGAATGGATTAAAAAAGAAAAATAAGACCCAACTATATGCTGCCTACAAAAGACTCACTAAGGACACTAAAAGTGAAGGGATGGAAAAATATATTTAATGCGAACGGAAGCCAAAAGAAAGCGGGGGTAGTGTAGACAAAATAGACTTAGTCAAAACTGTAACAAGAGACAAAGAAGGTTATTATAAAATGATAAAGGAGTCTATATCAAGAGAATATAGCAATTGTAAGTACTTATGCATCCAATATCAGAGCACCTAAATATATAAAGCAAATATTAACTGAAGGGAGAAATAGACTGCAATAATAGTAGGAGACTTCAGTACCCCAATAATACATCATCCATACAGAAGATCAATAAGAAATATTGGACTTGAGCTACATGTTAGACCAGATGGACCTAATAAGGAACTTTCCATCCAACAGCAATGGAATACACATTCTTCTCAAGTGCACGTGGAACATTCTCTGGAATAGATTATACATTAGACCACAAAACAAGTCTTAATAAATTTAAGAAGATTGAAATATATCAAGGATTGTTTCTAACCACAATCAATAAATGTGATACACCCTATTAAATGAAGAATAAAATTCATGATCATTTTAATAGATGGAGAAAAAGCATTTGACAAAATTCAACACCCTTCCATGATAAATCTCAAAGTGGGTGTAGAAGGAACATAAGGGCAACATATAAAATCCATATATGGCAAGCTCACAGCTAATACCACACTCAGCAGTGGAAAGCTGAAAGCTTTTCCTGTAAAATCAGGAACAAGGCAAGGATGCCCATTCTCACCACTTTTATTCAGCATAATACTGGAAGTCCTAGCCAGGGCAGTTACGCAAGAAAAAGATACAAAAGACATCCAATTCATAAAGGAAGACGTAAAATTGTCTCTGTTTGCTGATGACATGATATTCCATATAGAAAATCCTAAAGACCCTACCAAAAGAAACGTTAGAATGAATAAATTCAGTATAGTTGTGGATACAAAACCATTATACAAAAATAAGTTGTGTTTCTATACATTAACAACAAACTATTGGAAAGAGATATTAAGAAGACAATCCCATTTACAGTAACATCAAAAAGAATGAAATACTTAGGAATATATTTAACTGAGGTGAAAGATCTGTACTGTAATCTGTAATACATTGATGAGAGAAATTGAAGAAAAATAAATGGAAAGATATTCTGTTGTTCATGGATTGGAAGAATTAATAGTGTTAAAATGTCCATACTATCCAAAGTGATCTACAGATTCATTGCACTCCCTATCAAAATTCTAATGGCATTTTTTCACAGAAATAGATAAAACAACCCTAAAACTCATGGAACCACGAAAGACACAGAGTAGCTAAAGCAATCTTGAGAAAGAAGAACAAAGTTGGGGGCATTTCACTCCCTGATTTCAAACTTTATTACAAAGCTATAGTAGTCAAAATCATATGGTATGGGCATAAAAACAGACATATATCAATGGAACAGAATAGAGAACCCAGAAATAAACCCATGCATATATTGTCAGTTTATTTTCCATAAAAGAGCCAAGGATATACAATGAAGAGAGAACCGTCTCTTCAATAAACAGTGTTGGGAAAACTGCATATCCTCAAACAAAAGAATTAAACCGAACTGCTATCTTACACCACACACAAAAATTAACTCAAAATGGATTAAAGCCTTGAACGTAAGACCTGAAACTATAAAACTTGACATTAGCCTTGGCAATGAGGTTTTTGGATTTGATACCACAAGCAAAGACAACAAAAGCAAAAATTAACAAATGTGACTACATCAAAATAAAAATCTTCTGTCCAGCAAAGGTAACCATGAACAAAGTTAAAAGGCAGCCTATGGAATGGGAGAAAATATTTGCAAACCACATGTTCGTTAAGGAGTTAATATCCAAAATATACATGGAACTCAATAGCAGAAAAACGAATAACCCAATTTTTAAAATGGTCAAAGGGGGCCGGCTGAGTGGCGCGTTGGTTAACAGCTGGCTTGGGAGCGCCAGCTCTGAGCAGCAGGGCCCCGGTTCGGATTCCACATGAGGACCAGTGATGCTGCGCCCTCTACAGCTAAGATGGTGAGCAGCAGCTCGACCTGGAGCTGGGCTGCCGTGAGTCACCGGCGATGGCGTAGGCTGCAGCCCCTGCTGCAGTGGGCTGCTGTGAGCTACCATGAGTGTCTGGCAGCCAAGCATGAGCTGCTGGCATCCGGTGTGAGCTGCTGTGAGCTGCCGTGAGTGGCCGTCAAATAGCTGGCGAGCGATTGCCTCACCCGGGAAGAGCGCAATGATAATACCAACATGGGCCAGTGAAGCGACGTCCTCCACAACTAGACTGAAGAACAAGAGGACAACAACTTGTCTGTTTCCCTACCCCGATTCCCCAACGCTGTTCCCCTCCCCAAATTTCCCAATAAAATCTTAAAAAAAAAAATGGGCAAAGGATGTGAATAGAAATTTTTCTAAAGAATACGTACAAATGACCAACAGGTACATAAAAACGTGCTCAGCACTACTAATGGCGACATGCAAATCAAAACCACAGAAATGGCACCTCATACCTGCTAGCATGTCTATTATCAAAAAGACGAGATAAATGCTGGCATGGGTATGGAGAAAAGGGAAACCTTGTACATTGTTGATGGGAATGTGAATTGGCACAGTCACAATGGAAAACAGTATAGAGGTTCCTCAGGAAACCAGAAATAGAACTACCATATGATTTAGTAATCCCACATCTGCGTATACAAGTATATCCAAAGGAAACAAAATCACTATCTTGAAAACAGGTCTGTATTCCCATGCTTATTGCATCATTATTCATGTTAGTTAAGGTATGGAAATAACCTTTTATTGACCTATAAATTGATAAAGAAAAGGTGACATATATGATTTATAATATATGCATGATTTGCATATATATGCATAGAAATAGATATGGAATATTCAGCGTTTAAAAAGAAGGCAGTCCTGCCATTTGCTACAACGTAGATGAACCTGGAGGGCGTTATGCTAAGTGAAATAAGCCAAACAAATACTGCACCTTATCATTTCCATGTGGACTCTTAGTGAAAAACAAAACAAAACAGTTAAACTCATAGAAAATAGGTGAAATGTAAATGTTGCCTGTAGATTAGGATATGGTATATATCCTGTATAGAAATATATATCCTATATATAGAAAATAAAAATTTCTTGGTTTTTATGATGATACAGTGGTTGAGTAAGTGAGTGTTTTTGTTTTTAGGAAATATACACTGAAGTATTATAGGAAAGTGGGTATTATATCTGCAAAGTACTCTGAAATATTTCAGAAGAAATTTTTCATATATCTATATCTATCTATATGTCTATACATACATATAGATGCATAGATTGCTAATGTATGCTCTAGACCAGGGGTCAGCAAACTTTTGAGACGGAAGAGCCAATCCTGTCCCTCAAAGTTTTGCGAGACCTATAAAACAAATGAAATCGCCATTATGTGAATAATATCCTTTAAAAATTTTATAAATGAAACTATGATACTTTTATTTTCATTTTCAATTTTACTTCAGAGCCACATGTACATACCCAAAGAGCTGCATGTGGCTTGCGATCCGCAGTTTGCCGACCGCTGGTCTAGATTAAGAACATTTAAGACGACATTTCAGAGGATGTGTAGTTTAATTTGTCTTCAAAATGTGTTTTGTTCTTAGAGTATAAATATCGAAGGCCTCCCATCAAATGGCCCTATACCACCCTGGTTGGTAAGTGAAAGTTATTTAATTTCAGGCCCCTATTTTCTGGGCTATATTTGAAGAGCTATTCAAATCCATTCCAAATGAAGTGTATTTCCTCATCTTTTTAAAAGTTTCCTGATTTTAAAAATTTCCTGATTGTGTTTAGATGTAAGAACTGTATTAACCTTCTTTACTCCGTTATCTTCAGTTGGATGTAAAGTACCTGTCACCCTTGTTGCTGGCTTATGAAGACAGAATGAAAGAGAAGGACGAACTCATTGCCACTCTTCAGGTAGGCTGGCAAATGTCTCAGAAGAGACAAAATTTATTTTTAAAAAAAATTTTTAAAAAAGGGAGAGAAGGAAGGGGAGGCAGGAAGGGAGTGACCAGTGGAGCAGGAGGGGTGGGCAGGGATGAATGGGGGAGGTCTGGAGGGACCGGGTGGTGCTGCATTGGAATTTCCCGGACAGTCAGCCCAGGTGGGCTGGAATCTCAGAGCTCAGAGAAGGCAGTGGTGGGAGGCACTTGTTTCCTGGTACCCTACAGCTGCAAACATCACTGTTAGAAGGGACATTTGGGCAGACAGGGAAAGGTAGTGGGCCAGGTATATTTTAGGCAGACTTAGATGCTTAATTCTGTGAAGAGCTGACCCCAGGGAAGTCCAGTTATGGAGCTGTTGGGAGCGGTGAGGAAGTGAGGTTTTTATTCATTTCTACCTCGTTCACCTGTTTTACGGGAATGGCTTCTGGTAGCAGAACTCATTTTAATTACACAGGAGACCAAAGCTGTGCAGGTATTGTAAGTACATCCATGCCTGTCGGTGCTGCTTACCTCTATGTTTCTCGTTTAAGTGGCCAAAGAGATCTCTGGAATTGGAAGGTTCCAGGGAGAGAAGTGCTAGTTTTTCTGGGATCCCCACCTGAAAGAGTCTCTTAAGAATCACCCAGGTTTTTTTGTGTGTTCCTGGTCTTCGTTAGTTAGGTTGTTTTTCTCTTTCTTCTGCTTAAGGAAGTCCTTTTAACATTTCCTGCAATGCTGGCGAGGTGGTTATGAATTCCTTTAGCTTATTCTTTTCTGAAAAGCCCTTTATCTCTCCTTCTATTTTAAATGATAACCTTGCTGGATAAAGCAATCTAGGTTGTAGGCCTTTGCTTTTCATCACTTCAAAGACCTCCTGCCACTCCCTTCTGGCCTGCAGAGTTTTTGTAGGAAAGTCGGCTGATAATCTTATGGGGGTGCCCTTGTAAGTAAGTTGCTGCCTGTCCCTTGCTGCTTTTAGGATTCTGTCTTTATCTTTAACCCTTGCCATTTTCATTATAATGTATCTTGGTGTGGGCCTGTTTGGGATCATCTTGGTTGGAACTCTCTGCACTTCCTGAGCTTGTATGTCAATTTCCTTTGCCAGGTTAGGGAAGTTTAAAAAAAAAAAAAAAAAAGAAAGAAAAGAATCACCCAGCCTGTTCTCTTATGTACATGGCCCACGTTATATAGTTTTGAATCTTTTCTTCTAGACTTCCTGTTGGACACAATTTTTTAAGAGGATGAATTAATCTTATACTAATTGATGAAATAGCATTCCTAATAATTAATATAATTACTAATTTGGTGCTCCTTCTAAAATAGGTCAGGAAACATTTTCTGTAAATAATTTAGGCTTTGCAGGCCATGCAGTCTCTGATTTGCAACTACGCAGCTCTGCTGTTGTAGCACGAAAGCAGCCATAGACAACATGTACACAAATGGCATGTCCGTGTTCCAGTAAAACTTTGTTTACAAAACAGATGGCTGGCCTGCAGGCTCTAGTTTGCCTGACCCCTGTTCTGAAAAAGAGCAAGTGGACTGCCGGCAAATGGGAGTGTGTCTGGGCAGAAAGGTGAGGAAGAGAAGTTACTTGGCATTATTGTTTCAAGTTAAACGGGTTTTTTTTTTTTTTCTTTTTTAAGCTGAGCCATCCTGCTACCTGTTGGCAGCTCAGCGGCTGCTCAGCTCGGGCTGGACTCGAACTGCTGTTTGTTAGGGCCTGAACTCTTGAGCGAGCTCTTAACCAACTGAGCCACTCTGCCGGCCCTCAAGTTAAACGGGTTTAAGCATAAATGTCAGTTAGCTGGGAGACGTAAATTTAGAAACACCCCAGATGTTTCTATCAATATTGGCACCTAAGAGTCTCACTGGCACAAGACACTGAAGTTGGCCAAAGGACCAGCTGAGAAAAGCTGTGATGGGGGAGGCCCAGCGGCAGCGCCACAAATAACAGACTCATGCGTCAAAAACCGAGAACCAAGCGATAGTCCTTGAGTTGGGGCTCAGAATGATGAAGCTGTGCTGATGGATGGCTTTAAGGCAGGCTTTCTTGTGATTGTAATGGGGCCAAGTTAAGAGCCTTCAACCCCCACACTAATCTCTTGAAAAGTTCTTATTTTTATCGAAAAAGTTCCATTTTCTTCTTCAACGTCTTTAGAGGAAAAATTACAGTGCGTACAGGCATCTCTGCTTTTCTTATCCCCTTTTTATCTTTTGAAGTATTTGGCAGTAACAGACACATGTTATAAAGTTAGGAGTTGAATGTTTAAGACCTGAGGTTTGGTATTCCTTGTGCTCAGCATCATAGTTTCCTCTCACGTTTTTTCACTAGACTGTGAGCTCCTTGAGGGCAGATGTTTGGTGCTGGTACCGCGTTTCAGGCTGCTGACACTGTGAGACTTGGCTATAAAAAACTCTTCGCATTTGATTTTCACCATAGCAACAGCACCAGAACCAAGCAATGTAGATATGTGTGTACGTGTGTATTACAATTCACATAAATTTTCTTTCAGGAGGAAATGAGAATATTCAGGATGCGAGTCCAAGAAGTGGTGAAAGAAAATGAAGAATTGCACCAGCAGTTGAATAAGAGTAGTCCTATTACCAATGAGGAATGGCAAGTACTGCGGTGTTTCTAGATTTTACTAACTTAAAAAATAATAATAATAGGGGGCCGGCTGAGTGGCTCAGTTGGCTAAGAGCTTGCTTAAGAGTGCGAGCTCTGAGCAACAGGGTCACCGGTTCAATTCCCAGCCCAAGCTGAGCTGCCACTGAGCTGCCAATAGGTAGCAGGATGGCTCAGCTAAAATAAATAAATAAATAAGCTGCCAACAGGTAGCAGGATGGCTCAGCTAAAATTAAATAAATAAAAAATAATAATAATAGGAATACATTTTATTACATCATCAAGTACATTTTCTTTTTCAAACAAATATTTTAAGGGACAGTTTCTAAGAAATTAATAAGGTACGATGAAATCCTAGTAATTTATTCTAAATGTTTATTTTAAAGATTATTTTAAAAATTCTCAATAGGTTTCTTTTTAAACCTGAAAACTATATTTGCTGCCCTCCTTTTTATTTCCTAAGGTGGTATTTTCCTGGGGTGCTTTTCCCATCCCAAACCTGTTGGATCACATCATTTCTTTGACTCCTCTGATCGCTCCCAGGACCTTAGAATAGAAAGCCCAGGATGAGGCCCCGCGCAACCAGCCCCCCTCAGCCCTGTCCTGTCCGTCCTATGCAGGCCTTCCATTCCTTGACAGCTAAGTGTTGCCTCACTTCTGTCCTGTTGTCAGTGTTGCTCCCTCCCCTTGGGGTGCCCCCTCCCACACTCCTACCTATCCGTTAGGGCCCTGCTCAAGGCACTGGTCAGTAGTTCTCCCTGAAGGCACAGTTAATTGCCCTCTTGTTTCAGTTTCTGACATAACCCTAAACACACACCCTGTTCCGATACCTGCCATGCGGTGCCTGCCTGTGTGTTCCACATCTGTGTCCCTCTTGTCCTTTGTGAGTTCCTCAAGGGCAGGGGCCATGTCCTGTTCACCCACACAGCAGCAACGAATGCTTTTTTTTCAATGAATTCAAGAAAGTAAATGTCTTCAGAAGTCTAAAGGCAATATCCAGGCAAGACTAAGAAAGCAAAAACTATACAGATCTATCTTTTTTGCCTTGGGAAGGGATGTTATGTTTAGTATTTTTAAAACACGTGTTAACATCACTGAAGAAAATGAAATATTATCTGTATGTAATATTCAGAAATTTGGAATCGAGTCAACAGCATCCTCACTGGTAGTTTTGTTCTCCCTGCCTTTATAGTCACTAGACTGGGCTCGGCAGCTCCTGGGTCTTGGTGCGCAGTGGCTTCCCCTGTTGAACTTGGATTTTCTTCTGTCAGGCTTCCTAGTGTGTCTGCATTCGAACCCTCCTTAAGTAGCTCCCTGGAAAGCAGATCAGTTAGACTTGGCCTCACGTGCCTCCAGGAGTCCTCGTGAGAACCTGGAATCTCAGATTTTTTCTCTAACCTTGTATGTAGCTGCCAGTCAAACCTCTTTATTTTTTCCTTAAAATAAAAATATATAAACTAAAGGGAGGAAAGACAGACCCTACCTGCTTTCAAACCCATGTGCCCAGTGTTTCCCAGTCCTGTGTTTATTGGGGTTTGAAATTTGCACCCGGCTCTGGTGTGGTGGCCTGTGCTGTGGGAGGGGCGCTGTGAGGACTGGGGTGCCTGTTGAGGTCCGGCCTCCCACTTCCGTGGAATTGACTGACCTGCAGCTGGGGGAGGGGCCCTGCCTGGGCTCCGGAGTGTCACGCTCCCGAAGCACCTCACGGTCGTGCCTCTTCTGTGCCTCTGCCTGCTGATCCCTGTACCTGCCGCACAGGTGTGAGGTACAGTAGACCCCTGCCGGATCCTGGGGCACAGTGACCTTGCACAGTAGAAGCTTTCTCCTTAGCTCCAAATGAAGTTCGATGCACTTCTGGGCTGCAACTGAACTCTCTACATTTCTTTTCCCAACTTTCCCTGACCAGCTGGGTAACCTCAGGCTCGGTCTGTGCTAAACTAAATGTGAGGTTTTCAACTCTTTTTGTAGGAATAGGGAATCCCTTTCATTTAAAAAAGAAAAGAAGAAAGGGAGAGAGGGAGGGAGGAAGAAAGTATGTCTTATAAGAAAGTCCAAAACAGGGCCAGCCGAGTGGCACGTTGGTGAAGAGCTGGCTTGGGATGCCAGAGGGCCCCGGTTCGGATCCCACATATGAGAGCCAGTGACACTGCCCTCTACAGCTAAGATATTGAACAACAGCTTAACCTGGAGCTGGGCTGCCATGAGTTGCCGGCCACGGTGCAGCCCCTGTGGCAGTGGGTTGCCATGGGCTACCGTGTAGCCAGCAGCCAGTGTGAGCGGCCAGCAGCCGCCGTGAGTAGCCGTCCAGAAGCCGGCGACTGATCTGCCTCGCCTGAGAAGAGCGCAATGATGGTGCCAACTTGGGCCAGTGAAGCAACGTCCTCCACAACTAGACTGAAGAACAAAACGACAGCAACTTGTCTGTTCCCCTTCCCCTAATTCCCCAGTGCTGTTCCCATCCCCCAATTCCCCAATAAAAAATCTTTAAAAAAAAGAAAGTCCAAAACATAAAACACGAAGTGGAGCTGTTCCGTGTGAGGCAGGAATGAGGAGGCTGGAGCTGACCAGCTTGGGTGATCTTCCTTCCTGGACAGATGGCAGCCCCTTCCCTCCAGTGGGTGGGGGTAGCTGGTAGGGACACCTCCAGGGTGCCAAGGAGTTAGCTAGTGCACAGCCACTGTCAGAATGAAGTAATGGCTATAATCGCTTGAATCCTTTCATCTTATTTCTCTCCTTCCTCCACCTCAGTTTTGAGTTTAAAGTGGAAAATTGAGACAGTTTACTGGTTTACAGTGTACATTGGGTCGTAAACATTTATCTAGATCTCTAAGGTCCCTTTAGCTCATTTTAATTAGATTTTGCAACCATGAAGGTTAAGCGGGGCTAGAATTTACTTTACACCATCCATAAGGAAAGTGTTTACTCGTAGCGAAGTTAGGCTGGGGAGTATTTGTACAGTTTAAGAAATTGCCCAAAGGCTTTTAACAAAGCTATGGGGTTTTTTGTTTTGTTTTGACAAATATGCTACTGATTACAAGTGAATACTTTTTAATTAAAATAGGAACTTTCAAAATTCTTAAAAATATTTCATACTGGCTTCAAAGTAATCCAGTGGGTGTGGGAATTGGGAGTTGATATAAATGAAATAAGACAGGCCATTTGATAATTGATCCAGCTGGGTGCTATGTACATGGGAGTTTATCATTCTATTCTTGCTACTTATGTATATATTTGAAATTGTACGTTTCAAAAAGCCACTGAAGAAGTTCATAATTCAAACTTCATTACTGTCCTTTCCCCCAATTTCATGCAAATGGTGAGATTAATTGTTAATAACATGTTTAGCATTAAAACACGTCCAGCTATCCATTGCCTACAATACATCAGTTGCCTTCTTTTATACTCAAGTATCTCTGTTAGTATTCAGTACCTGAATGGCAGTATTTAATTGATTTAATTTAAATCAATTGTAGGCATCAGCTTCAGACTCAGGCAGAACTGGTTTTAGAGGAAAACAGGTTGTTGATAGAGCAGTTGGAGATTCAGCAAAGAAAAGCCAAGGACACCCACCAGGCGCGTCTCCAAGAAGGTGAGTGGTCTCTCCAGGGTGGAATGACAATGCTGTGATGTCACTGTTGTGTCCTTTTACACTTGCACCCCGCTCCAAACAAGACCCCCTCCTTCACACTGAAAATAGAGAAAATCATGTTTCTTTAGAATATATTCTTCTTTATTGAAATGCAGCTGTTTACGTTCTAGCCAGCCATTACCCATAATGCATTGATTGCTTGCTCTCAGACTTCACGGTGTCGCTCTAATGATTCCATATATTTTGTGAATCCATTGTAAGTGACAGCTTTAGACTCAGCAGAACTGGTTTTGGGGAAAATAGTGCCATATGACTAGGAAAAATCATATGAGGTGAATATTGGAAATAACACAAGGATCCTTACCTGAATATTTGTTGAATGAGTAAATATGTGGAACCATTTGGTCTCTGAACCGTTCCTCTGTGCTCTTGCCTTTCCTGCAGAGCTGTGGGTGCTGTCGGAGGTTAAATCTCCCAGATGCCTTCGCTAGCACCTTCTCCCCTGTGTGTCGCTCCCTGCCCCGGGGAGCCTCACAGTATATGACAGTGGACTTTGACTAAGAGTCATTTGATCCACTTTGATTAAACCCAAAATTTATGAACAAAAAGATAGTGGCGTTTTTTTCGTTTTGCTTTACTGATTTTTCTTGTCCAGTGAAGAACATTGTAAGACCGGAGGCTGAAATATGAGCCGTGTTGCCTGAGCCGATGTAACCCCTCCTTTCAGTGTTCCTTTCTGCACCTGGTCATTGAACCACTCCCCTTTCCACACTGTGGAAGAGCTAACAACTACCAGCCTCTGCTGTTGCTGAAGCTACTAGGCTAGCACTGCATGTGTTTCTGATAGCCAGGTGGTGCTGAAAAGTGCGAGCATCTCAGACTCCAACAGGAGTCTCCCCCACAGGACTTGCCCACTCCTGGTAAGGGCCGCCCCCCCCAGACCTTGCATGGCACAGAAATATTTGCCCTTACTCTGGTGTTATTTGGGGGGATGGGAGAGAGTGTTGTTGAGCCTCTTATCTTTGCTTTCAAGATTAGAGATGACAGGGAAAATGTATATCATATTTACTGAGCTTAATTTTCTCAAACAGCAGATCTGAACAGGTGGGATTCTTGTGGCCATGAGGAGCAGGGCCAGCCTCTTGGCCTGTATGATTCCGTCAGCTGCCTCGGTTATTTCCCCATTTCCCAGAAACAGCTATTTATTTTGATCAACTAAATGTTTTGATAGAGTCCAAGGGTTTCAAGTTTTATGCTAGAATACTTCTATGTATTACTTTCAACAGAGGCCCAGGAAGTATCCTATTACTACATGCTAAGATGTCACATAGGATGAAATATTTATGATTTACTTTAGATACAGGGCATAAAACATAAAAGCTTAATGAGGAAAGGGAAGAAAAATGATAAATTTGGGTCTTAGTTTGTGTTACTGACACAGAGTTTATCCACCCAGCACTAGCAGAGCCAAACACTAAACACTGAGAATTGCAGTGGAGAAAGATTGGCTGTTTTATTATGAATGGCGCCACCTGGGAGAACAGGAAGCTAATGCTCAAAAGCCCGAACTCTTCATCGGTTTGCAGACAAGGGGTTTTTTATAAGGCAAAATCAACGAGTCATGATGTGTAAGGGCAGTAAATCATAATTTCAGGTCTTGAGGTCAGCTGCGGAGTCCCCCAGTCTGGTTTCATGGGGTTGTGGCCAGTGGCCATTCTGCTTTAGGACTCAGAAGCTGAAACACAGCTTAGGCCATGATGTTATCTTTAGCTTCACAGAAACCCATACCTGTGACCCTTAGTCAAGGTATGGCCATTGTTTCTGGCTGCCTCGGGGGGGGGTTAACACCTAGGAAGGGAAAGGCCTAAGGCTTACAGGGCACGCAGTGAAGGAACTGATTAGAGTGCTGGGGCTACGCTTTCAATCAAAATCATACATTAAATCAGGACCCTTGGTTTCATTTGGCCATATTTGATGTCCTTGAAAATATTGCAGTTTTAGGGATGACATCATGCTGCATGTTTGCATGCCTGCATGTGACTTAAGGCTTCAGTCTCTGGAAAGTTATTTCCTTGAAGACTGGAATCATGTCCTGTTAAATACCGTATGTTTAACAATAGTATCAAGATAAGAAAGTGTATATTTAGTGAATATTTAATATAGGGACAGTAATTTCTAAGTCCAAGGCCTTTGGTATTAATTTATAAATCTCCAAAAGGTTTTTAAAAGATAAGTTTTTACAAGCTGGTTCTCATGAGTATGACCTAGTAATCAGTAATCACATTTTATTACATCTCCTGTACCAAGCCTTTATCCATCTCTTTCATTTTTCAGTTTCTAAACTGACTAAGCAGCTAATGCTTCTGGAGACAAAAACACAGAGCCAGGAAAAGGAGCTAACTGCAAACAAGGAGCAGTTGGAAGGTTTACGTACCGAATGCCAAGAACTAAAAACACAATTGGATGGCAAGATCGCAGTGAACGTTCATGCTTCAATTGTAAATGAATTACAAAGGTAAGGACTTCATGTCTTTTCAAGTGTCAGTGCATCACCATGCATGTTGTTAGAAGCAGAATGGACAGAGGTTGCTCCATCTTTTTCTGACTTGTTTAGCTGCACCAGCATAGGTGTCTGAGTCTGCGAATGGTAAATATTTTATGAAAGTAGAATACAGCTGTCCCTAAATATGTACCTAGAGGTGGCATCGTTGGGCTGTAGAATAAATGCCTTTTCTAGGTATTGCTCTCTAAGGTGACTGTGCACACAACCAACACTTTCCCAACCTTCTTATTGTATTTGGTCGCTTTTCATTGTAAACTTTTCTTTACTGGTTGATTTCGTACCAGGTGAGTGTATTATTTTGGCAAAAAATACTAAAATAAAATAAATTAAATAAAAATAAATAAAAATAAAATTCTAAAATTGAAACAGAAGAGAGAGAAGAAAAAAAGATAAATGAAAAGATGAGTTTAATTCAAACCTCAGTTCTGTGGCTTTTGTCTACTTATGTCCTCTGCTCTTTGACTAACTAGTAAACTAGAAAGCAGTGGAAACTCTCTGGAAAATTCCTGACTGGGTGTTCAGGGAGCCAACCCCGGTTGAAGTCACTGAACCTGTGTGACAAGTGAGGCAGAGCCCAAACATGCAACCAGAGGCTTGTTCTCTAGCCAGCCAGCAAGCCAGGAAGTAAACCCTACCTTGTATGCAGAGACCCCTGTCTCTCAGAATGCTGGGCAGCCTCTATGTGTGTGGTCCCATCTGTGTAGTCCTGGTTATTACATGAAAATTGACCAAGACAACCAAGGAAGAAATAACTCTTTTCTTGAGTGTCATTTAGCTAGAATTATATATTGAAATTGTAATGCCCTCCTTGCTCTTTGGTTTCTTTTGTCATAAAAACATGCAATTACTTGAGTATGATATAAAATTTGTTTTAGCATTAGAATTTGCAGGAGATCAATTATTACTATGTAAAAAAATTGAGCTGTCTTGAATTCTTTCTGAAAGGAATATGGTATAAATAAACACACACACACACACACACACACACACACACACAGAGAGAGAGACATAAGCAAAAATTGTGAGCAAAAGCATGGGGGGGAGGTAGTTAGATCATTACCATCAAAGAAGTGTGTACACAGCCGTGCGCTCTCTCCTGTCCTCTAGGAGTCCCATCCCAGGTCCTCCAGGGTTGGAATCGGGAGACTTTTGTTTTGAGACCTTACAAATGACCCACCCAGGGGTTGGAGGGCTGGGCTGTTTATCACTAGCCTGGCAGTGGCTGCCTCAGTTTAGCCTTAGCAAACTGCTTATAAGCCTGTGATGTTTTTGTCCATCAGCCGGTTGCAGAAGGAAGAAGAGAAAGAAAGTGCTGAGATGGAAGAGTTGATAGAAAAGTTGGCGGTCCTGCAAGTGCAGAGAAAGAGCCTGCTGGCTGAGAAGAACAACCTGACAGCCAGAAACAAAGCTCTGGAAGCTGAACTCAAAAGGGCACAGAAAATAAATAGGTTTTTATATATATATATTTTTTTAACCTGTTTTTTTAGTAGTTAAAAAAGACAGTTGAAGAATATTCTTTTTCTAATATTGACTATAAAACAAAATAATTGACATTATTGGATATCAAAATATAAGTACAGTAAAAGCTTTTCTGTTGACCAACATTAACCAACAGTTCTCACGTCTATAGCTCACATAGGGTTGATAGTCATAATGATGACCCGAAGACTATGAAAGTTCTAGAAGTTCTTTCCTAACCATTTCCCCAAAGTCTACTTTGGTATTACTGAATTCCTTTTTCAAAAGAGTCTTTTAGAACATGAGCCAAACATATTAATAGAATAATATATAATTAGCCTATTAATTGTGTTAAGCACTTTGCAATGCCTATTGACTTTAAGCCAGTAATTATGCTTGGCTTAAAATTAAATTTAATTACCTTTTCTCACCTTGAAACTTACAGATTTAGGTTGCTGAAGAATAATATTTAAATGCTAACATACTAGCTGGTTTTATAATATAGATATTCACTATGCCCTAGCCATTCAGGCTAATAAGTTTTTTTATTCCACCATATTGGGGAACTCTATAGGAGATCTCAAAAGAAAATTGATGTCCTCAAAAAGGAAGTGGAAAAAGCCATGAAGGATGAAATATCTGCTCACCAGTACCTGGCAAATCTTGTTGACTTGGCAGAGAATATAACCCAGGAACGTGACAACCTTATGTATTTGGTAGGTTTCCTCAGTTACTTCAAGTACACTGTAAATTAATATGCAAACATAATTTTAAAGAGTATTTTTTTAACAAAATTATCCATAAAAAGCTTCCCCTTTTAAAATTTCAACATCAAAATTTCATCTTTCAACAATGGAGGGAAAACATTTTTACAAGGCAAGTAACAATGATGGCAAATGATATTTTAGAAGGTAAACTAATGGAATTAGTCCATTGAACTAAGTGGGAACAGTAGTCATCACACGCAGATGCACCTTTATTACACACGCAGATGCACCTTTATATTCTCTCTATAAAGTTGACAGTATATTCCCTGTTTGAGGATAAAACATAAGAATCACAGAAAGGTTAAATAGAGGTCATCCTGAGGATATAGCTTAAAGGGCACAGTGATATGCATCCCACATTGTCCCCAATAGCACCAGTCCCGAGGAAGGGAACCGAGTAAGTTTTTGGTGGTCCCAGATGATAGAGCACTACCCAGCCAGCACGAGTGATGCCATGGACATGATTTTGGCATCTCCACACTGATTTTTCAAAGACGCATCCAACAAGTTGTATGATGAAAGAAGATAGATGCCGTGCCAAGTTATAGGCATTGAAAAAAGTCTGATAGGATTTACTGCAAAATGTAACAGATATTACAAGTGGTGGAATTACAGGAGGTTTTTCAAAATTGCTTTAGTTATCTGCATTTTATGACTCTTCTACATGGAACGCGTATTGCCTAAGTACATTTTAACATTATTTAAGCAGTGTTGCAAATCTGCGGTAGTGTCAGATCAGAAGAAACAGTTTAATGGATGTCATTACAAGACAGACCTGCGGGTTTCTGAGAGTCAAATTGGCAAACGTGGAAGTAACTCGGCCCTTCTCCAGGGCGAATGAAGTGTGGAGAGTCTGTCAGGATGTGCCACAGACTTATTCCCACTTGCTAGAAAGCTATTAAGCCCCTCCACAGGAAAATCAACATAGGTTTTTAACCATTGTTTACATTAGAGGAAATATAAATAATACACAGCTCTTGGGAGAAAATGTCAATCTTTGCTTGTGATAAAAGAAATGCTAATTGAGCCAGTCTTGAGATACCATTCTGTGCTTACCTTCATGTTACCAAAAGAATATTTTTATATTAGTTGCTGGTGGAGGGTGGTAAAGCTGCTTATACGTTGCTAGTGATTTCTAAGTCCTTCCCCGAGTCTTTTAAAAGCCATTTGACTGTGACACGGCATGGCAGGAGCCTTAAAAGCATGCAGACTTCCTGACCCAGTAGTCTCTGTCCGGAGAAGTCACTATCCCAATCCAAATGCTGAACTCTCTGGCATTTTCTTTTTTTTTTTTTTTTAATTGGGGAATTGGGGGGATGGGAACAGTGCTGGGGAGTTGGGGGAAGGGGAACAGACAAGTTGCTGTCGTTTTGTTCTTCAATCTAGTTGTGGAGGATGTTGCTTCACTGGCCCAAGTTGGCACCATCATTGCGCTCTTCTCTGGCGAGGCAGATCAGTCGCCGGCTTCTGGACGGCCGCTCACTGCGGCTGCTGGCCGCTCACGCTGGCTGCTGGCCACACACGGTAGCCCATGGCTACCCACTGCCACAGGGGCTGCAGCCCACGCCGTTGCCGGCGACTCATGGCAGCCCAGCTCCAGGTTGAGCTGTTGTTCAGCATCTCAGCTGCGGAGGGCAGTGTCACTGGCCCTCATATGTGGGATCCGAACCGGGGCCCTCTGGCATCCCAAGCGAGTTCTTAACCATCGCGCCACTCGGCCGGCCCTCTGGCATTTTCTAAAAGCAGCACTGAGCACCTGTTTCCCCTTCTGCTGTGCCTCCTGGGCTTACCCACTGGGATATCAAGAGGGCAAAGACAAAGCTTGTGGGAAAACATAAAGTGCCAAACAAACCTGTTCACCTAGCAGGCATGCATGGGGACCCGCTTCCATGTGTCAGTGCCACTGTGAAGACAAAGCCGTCTTATTGCAGCCCAGGACACACAGGTTCCCCTAAGATGCAGGCCCGCCTGGGCCAGAGAGCAGCCCAGGCTTCCATGGTGAAGTCGAGATCCTTCCTGACCCTCAAATGGTTCCCCTTTGGCCCACCCCTCATATTTGTGGGCCCAGGATGGAAATATAAATGGAGGCCAAATACCATGTGTCCAAACACTTAAAAGTTACGAACTAAGACTGTTAATGAAATGTGTTTTCTCCTCCTGCCTTGACCCACCATGAGAGATCTCTGTGTACGCAGAGCCACTGCTGTCCCTTTGGCCCTACAGGGTCCTTGCCCTTGGGAGCCACAGTGCCAGCCCTTCTAGGTGGGGTCCAGGGTACTGGCTGCCTCTGCTCTGTCCTGGGATTCCTGCGACTGTGGGCCCTGCACCCCCACCTTACCCTGTTCTGATCTCCCGGGCCTTGTGAGAGCCCCTTGTATCTTAATTTATTGATATTGGCATCTTAATTTCTAATCCTGCCTTTAGGATGTGTTTTCCATGTGACCTGTGGCAAGTTACTTAACTCTCTTTGTCTTATTTTTTCTTTCTGAAAATCAAATTGCCACTACTAGCTTACTTTAGAAGGAATGCTAACTTTCCCTTTTTTTTTATTTTACCATTTGAAATAGCTAATTTATAGAGCATAGTAGTTCATGTCCCATGTGGATATTAACCTAACTCATTCAGCTTCAGATGACATCCACCTTGGGAATACTGCCTGTGACATTTGGAGAACAGTGTTGTGCGTTCATATTATTATCCTTAATTTTGTAATTATTCAAATAAGTCAAGTTAAAGTTTATTTGCATCTTGGCACTTACTCCTTGGGTATGATTGAAGGAATGGTATATTTCATAAGAATAGAGAAGCTACTAGAAGGCCTTAACCCTCTCACATTCCCCTTGTGCCCAGCAGGGGCTCCCAGCACGCTGTCCGCTGTCCGAGCTCTCGCCCCTCCTTAGCTGTTGGCCCAGGTTCTGCCCACAATCCTCACACAGGGAGTAAGAATCTAGGGTGGGGGGCTACAGGGGGTCAGGCCAGGACAAGTGGCAGAATGGAGATTACTTGTGAGTAGTAATATTCTTTGCAGAAGAACTTTATATTATTCTTTTAATTTTTTTCTGTAAAACTGAGAGCGCATTGTTTTTCTTTTCGCCATTCTCCTTAGGCCAAATGTTTAGAAAGTGAGAAACATGGAGCTCTCGACAAAATCGTAGAGAGCAACATTCGTTTGGGAAGGTTAGAGGAAAAAGTTAAGGTAAGTGGTCATTTAGCCTCAGCGATTCCATTTTCAAATGGGAGCGACGGCTTACTGTGTGCAGATTTCTGTGTTTAAGAAAGTGATACATTTTGCATGTACTCATATATATTGCTAATCATCCATAGAATAAAGCAGTATAGGTTTCGTTGGCAGAAATAGCCCCTCTTTAGATATATAGCATCTCTCTACTTATTAAATAAATTTCAGTTCATGCGCACAATAAGATACCATGTAGGTGTTTAAAAAAAAAAAAAAAGGATACAGAAAAATCTCCAGGCTATATCCTTAAGTTAATGTCCAGGCTTTATGATCAAGCCTAGTTCAGTTATGGGTTCAGTTAGAGAGCAGCGTTGACCTGCTCCTGTCTTGCTTAATCCTGATTGCACCCTCCAGTTTCTCTGCCCAGGAAAGCTGTTCTCATTGTACCAGCTCGCCTCCCTTAGGCCACCTCCCTGCCCTGACCTCCGTTCTCCTCACCATCATTGTCTGCTTGTATCCACAGCCTCACCAGCCAAACCGGCTTCTCTTGGGCAGGGCAGGGGCCGGGAGAGGACCAGCAGGCTAAAGGCCTGGGTGGAGAGCAGGAAGCCTGTGGGATTGGAAGTGTAAGGGACTCTGAGGACATGTTGCTCCAAGCATGGGGAATAAGATCTCGGACCTCTGGGCTCAAGTGCATGTATGTAGGACAGTGATAAGTGGAGAAATAGATTGATGACATTGATATGTTGGAAGATTAACAAACCAAGAAAAGCAAATTGAAACACTGGCTGGCTGTGTATAAATATGCATACTCCTAGTATTGGGTGAATGATATAGATATAGATATACACATATATATATTTAGATATAGATATGTGTGTGTGTGTATGTATGTAAATGTATGTTATGAGTTTATTTTATTTTAGAGAACATAAGGTTTAGTCCTGAATTACTTACTTGTAAAAAGTTAAACAAAACTTAACTTAAAATTGCTCGGACCCAAAGGTGTGCCCTGTTGCAAAGAGTAGATTTTCTTTTTCCTTTGTTTCAGAAATGTTGCTAAAGTAACAAAAACATGACGTTTTTGGAAGCCGAATTGCCTTGTAGGTCTTGATTTTCCGGTGATGTAGACAGAGATGCTGCCTGAGGGGCTTTCTGGTTTCCAGTAGGGTCTGCCCCATGCAGCCTCCCTGAGCTACCCTGATCTGGGTTCTGGGCCTTCCCCAGGGTAGATCACCTCCCTCTAAGAAAACTCAGGAAAGAGCAGCATACCCCCCAGGAATCACTGTTCCCATTTATAATGGGTGGTGGGCTTTTGTGGTCACCACATTGTCACCATCCATCTAAGGTACCGCTTCCCTCTGTGACCCAGAGCAGCTCCACTCTTACTCTCAAGTGTAAGCTTTCATGCATGGCATGACATTATCTGAAGAAAGGCCTCCTTTGCTAAAGGAAAGTTGGAAATGCCTGCATTAGTCCCACATTCAGCACTTGGGATTTATCTTGTGGCTTCTGGTGGTAGGAATGATTTAATTTAACCACATAGCCTATGGAGTTGTGTTGACTTTTAAATGTCATCAT